CTATACCATAGAGTGGTGTTAGAGGACCTTCAGACTCCCAGAGATGTATCTTACTTGGGAATTTCTTAAGTTCTCCAAGGTGTCTCTGGAGGAAGCATAGCATAGAATCCCCTGGAGGACCTAGAAAAATCCTAGAGAGATAATTTTCCCCTGGGTGTGATTAAGCAAAATCATGATATGGGCTCTATGGTTATAGGGATCCTATTGTACTCCACTATTCTATGCTCAGAGAAGGAGTTTTGAGAATGATGGGTTGGGCAGGGATGTCAAACTCATTTGCATTGAGAGCCAAAGCAGCCTTATGGTTGTCTTCAAAGGGCAGTTGAATCCATGGATACAGAGGGCCAACTATATATATATTTTAAGTAGTATCCTGTGCTCTTTAGTTTGAACCCAATTTGGATCCCAAAAGGTATAGAATGACAATTCCGATCACTTTTGATTATCTGCCACGCAGACTGGAGATAATGGGAATTGCATTTAAAGACCACTTGTACCTCCGAGGTTGGGGAAAGACTAAGGGCCCATCCATGCAGGCCCAAAAAGTGGGACCTGTCTCGGTTTTTACCGGAGGTGTCCAAACATTGTCTCAGGTAAAAACTAATCAATTCAGGACAAACCAAGGTTTCCCTGGTTTTTTTCTGAATTATTTAGATAACCCATTAGATCTGGGCCTTCCTGAAAGGCCCAGGTCTAATGGGGCACTGGGCATGTGTGGACTCATACCAGGACTGTGTCCACAGCTCCAGAGGTGAGTCTGCACAGCCATTTTGCTTCTTCAGGCTTTGAAAATCCTGGAGCAGGATAGCACCCACCCCTTCCCTCAAGTCCGCCCCATCTCTTTGCGTATCATTTTCTTGCGCCATCATTTTCTTGCAAGGAGAACCTTTATGGCAGTCAGGGACCATTTAAGCAAGTTTTAGGGCCTAAATTTGGGACTTGAGGGTGACTTTGTGCAATTCCAATGTATCCCTATCACCCCAAGAAAGCCCAGGGTTCCGGTGGTGGAGTGGAGACAAGAACCTGTGTTAAACCGGGTTATTTAAACCTGCTTTGTCCTGGGTTTTGGCACTGTTTGGAAGCACCCTAAAGGACATTTTCATGTCAGACATCATATCCACCAGACTTGTATTTAAATTAAAACTCCACTATCCTGACTAAACAGAATAAACGGCAGCATTTCAGATGTTGCTGTAACACAATTTCCATCAGCTGTAGTGATGAAGTGTAATAATACATGTCCAGGAATACAAGACTTGTAGTCCCACTTTTGGAGGGCCACCTAAAATAATATGGCAGGCCAAATTCAGTATAGAAAAATAATGAAGGATATGCAATAGAATATTTGATAGTTTTCTTGGAAAGGCACATTTTGTATTTCAGATAACTTTTTTTTAGTTGGAACAGGTTTTGCTCATAAGTTCCAAATCTAAATGTCACTTTTATCCTGTGATGAGTCCCTATCTGGCGGCTCAAAAGTAAGGATGGAAGGTTTTGCAATTGCTGCAGAATAAACTCATCATGAACTGTTAGGAAGTTAGCGCAACACAATGAATAATTAGGAAGTTACCACAGCATGAAACAACTAGTTGATCCTAATGGTACACTGAGTACAAGAATTATACATCATATGGGGGGGGGGGAGTGTGTGTAGGGGGACTAAAATACAATAGGTAGTGCGGAGGGAGCTATGTTCCTGTGATACTAATACTACCTCGACACTAACAGGAAATTTGAAGTGTTCATCTGTTCTAGAACTAGGTGTCATTCCAGGCCTTTCCAAGAGTTCTTTTGGTGCTGAACATTGACACATTTTACTGCTATAGCATAAGATTTATTGGTGGTAAATGATGCAGCAGATGGTACATAGCAGAACATTCCAGTCCTTTCACTCATGGGTTCCAATATCCCCACACAGTCAATGGTAGAAGTGGGCCTCCAAACTAATTTTAGTCAACTATTCTGAGTGGACAATCGATGATGTTGATGATGATGATGATGATGATGATGATTGTAAAAATTGAGAGCCAGATTGACAAAGAAAAAACATGGCTGTGGCTCAAAATTTGAACTTTGAAAAAACAGACGGAGGGCCTGATTCTGGCAGCCCAAGAACAAGCCATTAGAACAAATGCCATCAAAGCCAGAATTGAAAAGTCGACGACAGATCCCAAATGTAGACTCTGCAAGGAAGCAGATGAAACAATAGATCACATCCTCAGCTGCTGCAAGAACATCGAACAGACAGACTACAAGCAGGGCATAACACCGTTGCTCAAATGATTCATTGGAACTTGTGCCACAATTAACATCTGCCTGAGACAAAGAACTGGTGGGATCACAAGCTGGAAAAAGTTAAAGAAAATAAACATGTCAAAGTCCTCTGGGACTTCCGAATTCAGACAGACAGAGTGCTGGAGCACAATACTCCTGACCTTACGATCGTGTTAAAAAACGAAGTATGGATAGTCAATGTTGCAATCCCAGGTGACAGCAGGATTGCAGAGAAACAACTGGAAAAGCGGCCACGATATGAGGATTTAAAGATCGAACTACAAAGACTCTGGCACAATCCAGTAAAGGTGGCCCCAGTGGTGATCAGCACACTAGGTGTAGTGCCTAAAGACCTTGGCCTGCACTTAAATACAATTGGCGCTGACAAAATTACCATCTGCCAGCTGCAGAAGGCCACCTTACTGGGATCTGCACGCATCTGCATGCATTATTCACCAATACATCACACCTGAAAAATCTACAACAACCCAGTTTCTTAATTTATTGAATCAATAAATTAAAATAATGGAAGGTTCTCCCTTGCTAAAAGTTTTCAAGCAGAGGCTCAACCAGGCATTTTTGGAGTTTCCCTCTAAAGCTAGTTGGGCAAGTTCTATTCTGGATTTTTGCATGAGATGCTATAGCTGTATCCTGACTTGTGAACTGAATTGATATATAGGGCCCTCTACAATACCAAGTTTTAAATATAAAGCTTTGCCAAGTGTCTCTGAGGGTACAACTAGACATGATGGCATCAACCAATGCAGTTTCTGCTGATTACCACTAAAGCAAGACGAGCAATCAAAATTAAGACATGGATAGATATGGGTGAAGAATTAATGCATTTCATTCAGATCCCCCATAATTCTAGTACTGATTGGAATAACTAAAAATAATGTGCATTCAGTATGACAAAACATACCCCTCCTCCTGTATGTTATAGGCAGCAGACCTGAATATACTGAAATCTACTGCCATTACAGTTTTGAGTCAGGAATATGAGCAGCTAAAATTAAATATAAGCAAGGCAATGAGTCTAAACATTTACATCTTAGCACCCTTCCACACAGCCATATAACCCGGACTATCAAGGCAGCTACTCCACTATATCTCCTTTGAACTGGATTATCTGAGTCCACACAATCATATAATCTGGTTCAATGTGGATTTTATACAGCTGTGTGGAAGGGGCCTTAATTTAACCAAACTGGTCACTGGAGAGGTGAAGAGAACAGGTACACTGTTACTATGGACATCATTGACCATTGTTTGATTGTGAAGCACAGGTTTGGACCATTGGACTCCAACTACTCACCGGAGTAATTGGAGTTGGACTACTCACCGGAGCGACTTACAGGGAGCATACCACCCCCTTGCTTCGTCATCTCCACTGGCTGCTGGTCCAGTTCCAAGCACAATTCAAAGTGCTGGTCTTGACCTATAAAGCCCTATACGGTTCTGGCCCAGTTTAGTTGTCTAAATGTATCTCCCTCTATGACCCACCTTGGAGTTTACGATTGTCGGGGGAAGGTCCTGCTCTCAATCCCGCCACCCTTGCAAGCACGATTGGCGGGGACGAGAGACAGGGCCCCTCGTCTGTGTAATGCACTCCCCAGTGAAATCAGGGCGACTTCTTCTCTCTTCTCCTTCAGGAAGAAACTCAAGTCTTGGCCTTGGGACCAAGCATCCGGGTAGCTGTCTGAGCAACAACAGCAATGACTCATGAGAATTGTTAATTAAGAGACCTTGGACTGGAACTGTGGACTATGATTTAGATTTGCGGACTCAGACTTGGTTGTGTTCATATTTAAGGTCCAATGTTTTAATGTATTTTATTGCCGTTTTGATGTATTCTTATAGCTGTTGATTTGTTCATGTTAATTGTTGTGTTCTGTTTCTTTGTTGGCATCCAATGACTGCCAATTGTAAGCCATCCTGAGTCCCCCTTCAGGTGTTGAGAAGGACAGGATACAAATACCCTAAATAAATAAATATTTCTTCTCCATTTTTGTATGTGTTTATGAATTTGAATGCAGAGAGTTTACATCCAAAAGAGGAAGTACAGAAAGAACGCTTTGTGAAGAGACGTCTTCAGGAAATGCAGATTTAGAAAGCTGCCAAGATGATCTGAAAATATCTTGTAAAGTTGACACCATTGGTTTCTCCATGACTGCACACATACGCCTACCTCTCTCATTAGGCAGAATGTGGTGCTCACCAGAAGTTGACAATTATGAGCATCATGAAAGCGCAGCAAATGGTTATAAAGTTGATTATTGTGTGAGAGAAAGTGATGATCTGTTGTTGTTGTTTTGCTTCAAAGTGACTTACCTTGGATGTTGTATACCATATATTTGGGTAGGATTCCTTTTTCACCTAAATGATTGAATTCTTCATACAGTAACTGGATATGATTTATATGGAGAAAAAAGAAACCACATTATCAAATTGCTTAATTTATGAAAAGTTTTTCTCAACCAACAATGGAATTCAACCAAACTTGGCACACAGAACTCCCATGACCAACAGAAAATACTGAAAGGGTTTGGTGGGCATCGACTTTGGAGTTTTGGAATTGTAGTTCACCTAAATCCAGAGAGCATCGTGGACTCAAATGATGATGGATCTGGACCAAATTTGGCATGAATACTCAATAGCTTTTTGCTCTGTAGCTCATTGTGACCAATGTAGCACTCAATGGATCTTGCTTTTTGGTGTCTTCTTAGGTGGTACCATGATGGTCTTACTCGCCATGCAGCTGAGGCCCTTCTTCTCTCCAATGGCAGTGATGGAAGTTATCTCTTAAGGAAGAGCAATGGCAAAGCTGCCCTATTCTCTCTCTCAGTGAGGTACAGTATTTTGTCCATTATATGTTTCCATGTTAATCTTTCTGAGCTTTGAGATAAACATCTACTTTTTTGCTCTCCATCCCATCACTGTCACATGTTCGGAGACACCCTTGAGTACTGGCACATAGACTTGAGGATATTGTCCATGGGTTGTCCATCTGTTTCAATCATTGGCTGCTTCTCACAAGGCAATTTACGTTCACCATGGACTGAGTAGACTATGACTTGATGCTTTTTGAAAATAATCTTATTTTATTATTCACTCTTAACAGAGCATCAAAAATGAAGAAAAGCCAGACTTTTACAATTCAGCTACTTTAGTTGTCAAGAGTGATTAAACTATAGCAAATCTGGAGCAGGTAATCCAGTTAAGATTGGGTTTTTTTGTGTTTGTGTAAAATAACTTCCCAGCCTTTTATACACATTTTCATCTCTGTGTTTGCTTTCCAACTGTGATAGTCTTAGCATATTTTGAAATACAAAATAGAGAACATATCTACTACTGAACCACTTCAATCCAATTGCTATGACAATTTTCATTTTAAATATCCCTATTTTATAAGTTGTAATTGCTATTAGCAATATCTGTAACTTTCATTGTATTTTAATTGATTATTTAGTCATATTTAATAATACCAACAATCTAAACAGAACCTGGAATTGTGTAGATCATTCAAGGAAATAATTCTAAGGACTCTTCCAGACAGGCCCTATATCCCAGGATCTGATCCCAGGTTTTCTGTTTATCCCAGATTATCTGGCAGTGTGGACTCATATAACCCAGTTTAAAGCAGAAAACCCAGAATCAGATCCTGGGATGTAGGGCTTTCTTCATCAAAGTATTTCAAAATTTCAGAGGATGGAGCTATGGTATATGTTAACAAACCGTCATAACTATGGAGTGCCAATACATTAGAATTCTCAGATTGTTTACCAAGCTTATTGACATATTTCAAAATGTAGTTATGCTAAGTAGAATGTGTATTATCTAATACACCAATTATCTTATGCACCAACAGCTTTTCTTTCTTTTGTTTCAGAGCAAAAGATTCTGTAAAACATTTTCACGTCGAGTACACTGGATCTTCATACAAGTTTGGCTTCAATGAATTTCCCAGTCTGAATGAATTGATCAAACATTTTGCAAATCAGCCTTTGATTGGCAGTGAGACAGGTACCTAGCGTCTGCTTTTATTTATATTCACTTCTTAACCAATTATTTTATTGTGTCCATTTTTACTTTTGCATCTTTGAATATTTTTACAAAGTCAGATACTTCCATTATAATATTTTGTTGTTTTTCCCTCTCTCCCAATAATTAATTATAACAATATTTGTGTTTTGTTTTGTATTAGGTGCCTGTTTCTAGCAAGGTATATTAATATACATTGGTACTGTCTGCTGCATAGTAAATATTAGATCAGACTAGACATTTTCATTTCAGGAAATAGGTGGGAAATACAAAACAAAATATCATTAAATTAAAATTTAATATACACAATATATTAAATGTTATATTTAAATGAAATATATTAAATACTTCAAAGTTTTGAATTTTGAGAGCAAATCACTTCCCATTAAAAGGAGGTCAAAGTAAGAAGTGTTCCCACATCAAATATTAAACAGTTTATCTCAGAATAACTATGCAGAGATGAGGAAAACAAAGAAATTAAAATATCATTGTCTTTTACATATTCTATATCCATGGATTCAGTCACACACAATGTGAAAATATCTCCCCCACCCAAAAAAATCTAAAGAGTAAACCATGGTTATTCCATTTCTATACAAGGAACAGCATTGTATATAATAGGACTTGAACATCCATTGATGTTTATATTCATGGCAGGTCCTGGAACCAAACTCAGGCAAATACCAAGGGTCCACTGTTGTTTCATTCCCATCTCACTCTCTGAAAATACTTACTCCATTATTGTTGTTGTTGTTGTTGTTGTTGTTGTTGTTGTTATTATTATGTGTTGTCGAAGGCTTTCATGACTGGAATCACTGGTTGCTGTGAGTTTTCCGGGCTGTATGGCCATACTCCAGAAGCATTCTCTCCTGGCATTTCATCCACATCTATGGAAGGCATCCTCAGAGGTTGTGAGATCCTCACAACCTCTGAGGATGCCTGCCATAGATGTGGGCGAAACATCAGGAGATAATGCTTCTGGAACATGGCCACACAGCCCGGAAAACTCACAGCAACCATATTATTATTATTATTATTATTATTATTATTATTATTATTATTATGTTTATTTATATTCTGCTTTTTTTCTTCACAAGGGAGACTCAAAGCAACTAAACCCTATATTAGGAAGCAAATTCTGTGTGACGTTTTATGTGTTTGATTAATGGGTCCCTTAGTTTGCTTTCATTCTCATTTAAAAACAGCTGTGATGCATTTGGAAATAGATCATTTATAAATACCTATTTTAGAATAAAAGCAAACACTCAACAGTAGGGAGATCCAGTCAATGATTTATGTAAAAATTAGTTTGCTCTATTAATAGCCCAACCCCATTTAGGACAAATGCTGTGTTAATGCACTCACTATGTGGCGGTTAAGGTGTTGGGCTGGGATTTGGTGGGGATTCAAAATCAAGTCCCCATTAAGCCCTGAAATTCACTGGATGACCTTTAGCAATTCATTTTCTCTCTATCTCTTAAGTCTAAAACATGTCACAGTGTTTGTGGGGACAGAGTAAGAAGGATAAGTGCATGCCACCTTGAGCTTTTAGGTAGAAATACAGGCTACAAATGTAAATTCATTCAATCATTGAAAGGAGTGCTTTCATTAGAATTTTTTGGTCCAAGGCTGTATAGATAAAAACAAGTCAGAGTCGTGATTGCAGGATCATGACTATCATCGATATCACTGCAATATCATGATATGAGACAAGTAATGGTATCATCTCCACTGGCTGCCAGTCTGCTACCAAGCACAATTCAAAGTGTTGGCTTTAGCCTATAAAGCCCTACATGGTTCTGGCCCAGCTTATCTGTCCGAACGGATCTCCCCCTATGAACCATCTCGGAGTTTAAGATCATCTGGAGAGGCCCTGCTCTCGGCCCAGCTTTCTTCACAGGTGCGACTGGTGGGGATGAGAGACAGGACCTTCTCAGTGGTGGCCCCTTGGCTGTGGAATTCCCTCTCTAGGGATGTTAGATCAGTCCCCTCTCTCCTGACCTTCCGTAAAAAAGTGAAAACGTGGCTCTTTGGTCAAGCCTTTGGAGAACTTGTGCAACAGACATATAAAGAATTATGTGTAAGAACTACTGGAACGGCCTTGATTATAATTCTGTACAGCATGATTTAAGAGTGGTGATATTGGTTTAAATGCTTTTAAATGGTTTGATGTATTTATAATCCTAGTTTAAATTTTTTTTAAAAAAATTACATTGTTTTTAATGGCATCGAACAGTTGCCTATGTTGTTAAGCTGCCCTGAGTCCCCTCCGGGGTTTAGAAAGGTGGGGTAGAAATGTCACAAATAAATAAATAAATATCACATATGGTGCATTTGGATACATAAGTATAAAATCATCGAGTCAAAATGGAAGAGTCCACAAAGGCTATCTAATCCCACCTCCTTCCATGCAGGAATGCCCAATTACAGCACTCCTAAAAGATGAAAGGTTTAAAGACTGCCAAAGAAAGAGAATCCATCACCCTTCAAGGCAGTTTTGTTCCAATATTTAACAGTTCTTTATGGAGCCCCCGGCGGCACAATGGGTTTAAACCCTTGTACCGGCAGGACTAATGACCAACAGGTCAGAGATTTGAATCCGGGAAGAGCTGGTTGAGCTCCCTCTGTCAGCTCCAGCTCCCCATGAGGGGACATGAGAGAAGCCCCCCACAAGGATGGTAAAACATCAAACATCCAGGCATCCCCTGGATGTTTGATGATTGGCCGTTCATGCAGACTGCCAATTCTCTCACACCAGAAGGGACTTGCAGTTTTTCAAGTCACTCCTGACATGAAAAAAAACAAGTTTTTTTATAATAAAGAAGTTCTATTTTCGACTGTTAATTTTAAAGGAGGAAAAAAAATGTGTAAACGTAAATAGCTCATTTTGGATAAGAAAAGAAAGCGACTGCAAACAAAGAATAGCAACAGACTTCAGTAGAGGGCTTTCCCTCCCTTTCTCTTTTTTTTTTTTCTTCGAGCATCTGCTCTCCAGGCCAGAAATGGTTTAATCTCTTTGAACTGTCATATCTATTTCCTGACATGAGTGTTAAACCCACGTTGCCTGGCCCCAACTGACTCACTGCTCTGAAACCTGAGCGCTGTTGTTAAGCACTTCCTAAATAGGTTTGTTATTGCACACAAGAGGTCCCCCAGACCTTTTTCTTGATAGACAACCACCACTTGGTACTAATCCAATAATAAAAAAGATGCATTCATTATCAAGCAATTATGCAACAATGACTTTAATAAGGCTGAAATTTAAGACCAGCATTTTCATCACACTAGAGAATGAATCCACTTTAAATCCGTTTTCTACCTCCTGCCGGATTCTGGGGTTTGTAGTTTTGGAAGGCTGTTAAAGGCTCCTCCCTAAACTACAAACCTCAGAATTCTGCAGGAGGAATCAACTGGGTTTAAACCGGATTCATTCACTTCTTTTTTTTTTTCTGTCAAAAGCAACTTGAAAATCTGAAAGTTACTTCTGGTGTGAGAGAATTGGCCATCTGTAAGAACATTGCCCAGGGGACACCTGGATGATTGATGTTTTACCATCCTCGACAGGCGGGAGCTTACCCCTCTCCCAGATTCGAACCTCCAACATGTCAGTCAACCAGTACTACCAGCACAAGGATTTAACCCAGCATTTCTTAACCTGGAAGTCAGTTGTCAGAGGGGTCACCAAAGACCATCAATAAACACAGTATTTTCTGTTGGTCATGGGAGTTCTGTGTGGGAAATTTGGCCCAATTCGATCGTTGGTGGAGTTCAGAATGCTCTTTGATTGTAGGTGAACTATAAATCCCAGCAACTACAACTCTCAAATGTGAATGTGTATTTTCCCCAAACTCACATTTGGGCAGATTGAGTATTTGTGCCAAGTTTGGTCCTGATCCATCATCATCTGAGTCCACAGTGCTCTCTGAATATAGGTGAACTACAACTCCAAAACTCAAGGTCAATGCCCATCAAACCCTTCCATTATTTTTTCTTGGTCATGGGAGTTCTGTGTGCCAAGTTTGGTTCGATTCCATTGTTGGTGAAGTTCAAAATGCTTTTTGATTGTAGGTGAACTATAAATCCCAGCAATTACAACTACCAAATGACAAAATCAATCCCTCCCCCTGCCCCAACTCCACCAGTATTCAAATGTGGGCATATCAGGTATTTGTGCCAAATTTGGTCCAGTGAATGAAAATACATCCTGCATATCAAATATTTACATTATGATTCATAAGAGTAGCAAAATTACAGAAATAATTTTATGGTTGGGGGTCACCACAACATGAAAAACTGTATTAGGTGGTTGCTGCATTAGGAAGGTTGAGAACCACTGGTTAAACCCATTGCACCACTGGGGGCTCCATTCTCTAGTGTGATGAGGTAGCGGATCTTGAGAGAACTAGCCAGGCTGGTCACTATCTAGATGGGAAGACAGCTGGCCACCTTATGGATATTGCAGTTGAGTTCCATGGATGATATTGGAAGATAAAGTCAAATAATTCCTTGGTCCCTCAACCTACTGGGATAATTCGCCAGAACCATCTTCTGTCAACGTTTTGCAGAAATGGCCTTGGTTTTGCACAAGAACGCTTTGTTCTAATAAGAAACACACAGATCTTGCTCCATGGTTTTCCTCCTAAGCATTGGAACCTTAAAGCACATTATTGGTTTATTTTTAATATATACTGTATGATGAGTTTTCCATCCTATTGTAGTTCCATCCCTTCCCTTCCACTATCACCTTCCCTGCCATCTGTTACATCCCTTAACAGTTAGGGGATTGATGCTATATGACACCAGTGCATCTGATCTGTAGTGTTGAATGATAGATTCACCCAGTGACTTTCCAACTCCCAAATCAGATTCTGCTAGCTCTGTCAAACGCCTTTCATGTGCTAAAACGGACAGTGCCCCTGGCGAGAAAAAAGGTGTTAAACCTCACAATACCTATGAACTTGTGCCCTTCCATGTTGCCTTTCTATATGAAGCAATGCACAGGAAATGGACACCGGAGATAAATAATTGCTGATTTTGTACACAAGTGGCCAAAACACTACAAAGCTTAAGTGATTAATGGGTGTAATATAATCCCTCCTTTGTCCCTCTAGAATCTACAAAGCTCTCTGACTGACTTGCAGAAGGTCATTCCCTGCAGGCCTTACTCCTGCTTGCTCCCGACCTTTGTTTAGTTTAAAATAAGAACACAATGGACCAGCAGCTATGATTAACACAAAGTAGCCAAGATGAATGACTCAAAATTGCACCACATTTATAAGTCACTGACTGGACCAGTCCAACTTCTCAACCAACCCAGCTAACTTGAAATGGCAATATTTTAAGAGATGCCAAAGAAGAAGCAAACAATCTGCATGATAGCTCAAGATCAATGCTTTTGTCTAGGTTTGGAGGACTCTTGGACCAGACAGTCTGTTTATGCACTACTGCAATGAGTAATAATAGTAGTAGGAGTAGTGATACAAATTAACACTGTAAATGTGTCCCTAGTCTCTGGCATATTTGCTTTCCAGAGTGTCTCTTATTTTCACCTTTGACACCTTTGAGTACAGGGCTGGGGAAGGAAGCTCTGGCCTCCAGGTGTTGATGTCCGGACATTCCTCATCAATGATAAAGCTAGTAGAATTGAGGGCAACTGAAGTCCAACACTATCTAGGACCCCTTCCATACTGCCCTATATCCCAGGATCTGATCCCAGAATATAATCTGGGATCAGATTCTGGGATGTGGGGGCAGTGTGGAAGGGGCCTAGGAGAACATAGATTCCCCAGCCTTTAGTCTACAGCAGTGGTGCTCAATTTGTGGGTCCCCAGGTGTTTTGGCTTACAACTCCCAGAAATCCCTGACCATGTACCAGCTATTAGGATTTCTGGGAGTTGAAGGCCAAAACATCTGGAGACCCACAGGTTGAAAACAACTGTGTGAGGTGATACTGGGATTGTGAATGGTGGATTCCTTCATTTTCCAGATTTAGAGACTCACGTTCCATCTTTGAATTAAGTCTGAACCTGAGACAGGAGAGGAGCTTACTTTCGCATTGGTTCAACATGGAATTACATTTTGCTGCATGCCTAGTAAAATAGCTAATGCTGGGAAAATAAACTTGAATGTTTGCTACCATTGCAGCTATTTGTTATGGAAGTTGTAAAGAGGCATTATTGGTGAAACTATTTTATAGTCTAAGATTTGATAATGTTTTTAATTTTTTAAAATGTGTGGGGTTTTTTTTAAAAAAGTATACTTTTTAATTCCATGTGACATGTTGATACTTCAATAAATATTTCCTTTCAAGACAAGAGACTTCATTAGGTAATTCTTTCCAGAAGGTAGCTCCTATGGCTTACATGAGCTATTGCTGGATTTGTCTAGTTCATCAGCCATTTGGTTTCCATATTCTTTTGTGCATTTTGTGCACATGCCCTTCTCCATGAATCTCTGTTTGCTTTCCTTTAGGCACTCTGACTGTACTGAAGCATCCATATCCTAGGAAAGTAGAAGAACCTTCCATTTATGAATCTGTGCGAGTTCACACAGCAATGCAAACAGGGAAAACAGAAACTGACCTTGTTCCCAATGCACCCTCGGTGAGTTGGTATCTCCTTTATTGGGATGGAATTAATGAAACGTTTTTATCTAATTGAGGGAATGAGATTTTATGAAGTCTTAAGAGGAAAAGCCTCTCTGAAATTTCAGAATGGTGGCTATAAATGAACTCTAAAATCTGGAATCACACAATGGTCACTATCCTGTTAGTGACGTATGGAAATGTTAAGTCTACCTTCTGTTTGCATATGTATTTTTCATTATTTGGCAGGCTGTTTCTTTCCTTCTGCAATGACCAAAGTCTCCTCATCCCAACTTACTATTCCCATAGCCTAATGTAGATAATTGATGAATGTCCCAAGACTAAAATATAAGCTATTATGGAAAACGTCTTATCAGAGTACTCTGACAGTGGAATAGACTACCTTGTAAGATATTGAACTCTCCTTTTTGGAGGTTTTAAAACAGAGGTTTAATGTCTGTCTCTCAGAAATGTTTTAGATGTGCATGGAAAGTGGATGAATCATATAGCTGGAAGGACCTTGTGGTTCCTTACAACTGTATGATTCTATTATTCGATTTAATGTTCCAACTTGAAACTCTTATGCTATTCTCTACTGTATGGGATATCCAGTTTTGAATGAGCACAGCAGTAGAGAAGTCAGCAAATGGTGCCTTTCTGCTCCATCAAAGCCTCCTGGTGACCAGAGAAGTCTTTTATGGGCAGGAAGCAGACAAACAAGCATAATACAATTGGGTTGGTTGCTGTGAGTTTTCCGGGCTATATGACCATGTTCCAGAAGCATTCTCTCCTGCTGTTTCACCCACATCTATGGCAGGCATCCTCAGAGGTTGTGAGGATGCCTCCCATAGATGTGGGCGAAACATCAAGAGAGAATGCATCTGGAACATGGCCACACACCCTGGAAAACTCACAGCAACCCAGTAATTCCAGCCATGAAAGCCTTTGACAACACATAAATACAGTTGTTTTTCTTTAGTTATTTTCTTGGGAGGTCAAGGGTTTCCAAAAGACATTTGAAACAAACCCATTTGCCAATCTCTTCCTTCAGTTGTCTGTGCCCATGCCTAGTGCAGTTGACCAACAAGGCCTATTTCAGCAGTTAGCACCACATCGCTGCACATGTATAATGAACAAAGAACACATTGTCTGAAGTCATGTGGTGCATGGTTTGACCCATTAAATCATTAGACATCATTTATTCATAGAATGTAACAAGCATCCCCATTAATCTATGATGCAAGACGTTTTCCATTATACCTGAATCAATGGAACTATTTTGCATGTTAATTTCAGGTATGGGCAGAGACTATGGTCTTGGCAGGGAATTCAGTGACCTAGTTATAAGGATGAAATAAATTGATAGTTAGTGGAAAAACTTTTGTTTTGTCAGCAATGTTGAGGTGGAATGATTCATCATCAAATGTATGATTTTCTTGTCTGTCAACTCTCCCCATCTATTCTCAACACTCATGGTTAACTTTGATCTCTTTCATTGCAGTTGGGCACAAAAGAAGGCTACTTAACAAAGCAAGGGGGAATAGTGAAGGTAAGAAATGGTCATGGCTTTTGAACTATAAAAGCATATGGTTGTTGTAGGTATTTCGGGCTATATGTTCTAGAAACATTCTCTCTTGATGTTTTGCCTGCAACTATGGCAGGCATCCTCAGAGGTTGTGAGGTCTGTTGGAAACTATGAAAATTAAATTTAGTTTCCAACAGACTACACAACCTCTGAGGATGCCTGCCATAGATGCAGGCGAAACATCAGGAGAGAATGCTTCTGGAATATGGCCATATAGGCCAAAAAACCTACAACAACCCAATGATTCTGGCCATGAAAGCCTTTGACAATACATATAAAGGCATACTGTTAAAATACATGTTTAATATATACTGGCACATAGGTGATATGTGACTTCCATCATATGCTTAATTCATTGGAGGAGAAACAACATTCTCACTCCTGTGTAGTCTGGGAAATTTGCACAATGATTACATGCATCTAAAACTGCCAATTACTGGTCTGAAACACTGACGTACACTTTAGCTACAAACTGTTGTTTAGCCCCAGCTGAAATAGACCCATTGACTCAACAGTTCCATAATGAGTCAACACATAGGTGAATTCCATTGATTCTTTTTGCTCTGAGCAGTAGTAACAACAGGAATTAGGCGCTTGCATGTAAGAAGTATTGAGAAGCAGTGTCATAAGGCAGTGTGACACAGTTTTGTGAGGCTGTGAACAAGCGTGTAAATAGTAGGAGATGATTAATCCTACTGAGCAGGAAGAGCTTCAGGGAGATAACTTGATTCTCTTTGTGAGAAATTGCTTTGCTGAATTCTTGAGGAAGGCATCCATTGAAGTGTGTTGGGGCCTCTTATCATTAGTGTTTTCTTTCTTCTCATTATCATGTTGGGGTGTGTCTCTTTTTGTTGTTGTTCTCCTTTACTTTGGCTGGACTGTATGACAAGCCTTTGCCTTGTCTGTGTTTGTATGTCTCATTGTATTTGATTGTAAGGCATTGACTGTTTGCCTATGTCTACTGTTAATGCTGTAATCCACTCTGAGTCCCCTAAAGGAGAAGGGTGTAATATAAATAAATTGTATTATTATTATTTGATACACAACAAACAAGATCACTATACTGGCTGTTGTATTAGATCACATGTCAGACACTTCCCAAGTGTCTAGAACGGTGTGATGTATCGGCGAACAATGCATGCAGATCTGAGTAGAAAGGCCATTTGCAGCTGACAGATGGTAATTTTGTCAGCGCCAATTGTGTTTAAGTGCAGACCAAGGTCTTTAGGCACTGCACCCAGTGTGCCGATCACCACTGGGACCACTTTTACTGGCTTGTGCCAGAGTCTTTGCAACTGTGTTGTTGTTGTTGTTGTTGTTGTTGTTATGAGATACTAAACAGTTTCTAAATCTATTGAAATGCTTACTCCTATCTACATTGGGAAAAGGAAAACTATAGTTTTCCAGTTGGTGCTTAATTCCAATTCCTGCCACCATCCTCCCAAAGTCTGGCCAATTATAAGGCATAATGGCAGAAGGAGTTCAGCAAAATTTGGATAGTCAAAAGTTATTCACCTTGATATATATGTCAGGAAGAATGAGAAAGAGAATGGAAATCCCCATTTCCATTTTTGAATGTCTTTAGTTTTATACTTTTTTCATCTTTCAGAATTGGAAAACCAGGTGGTTTACATTGCACAGGAATGAGCTAAAATACTACAAGGACCAGACGGTAAGCTACAAACCGGACTTTAATGTGTTAATTACTTGACTTTGTTGCATATTAACCTCATCTATCAGATCCTCCAGAATCCATTTGTCCAAAAGAAAGTCACTGGGCTGGAGTATTATTCCTGTGTATATTCCCAGTACATTCCCAGTTCCTATCCAATCTGTCATTAGTCTTATGAAACTAACAGCAATGTCTTCCCATAGTTTGTCAGTTCAGTTGATATTGGGAATAAGTGGGGGATATAGGCGTGACCTTTCTATGCAGCATGCTATCTAAGATTTTGTTATTCCTCTGCATCAGTATTTTGAGTACGCATATAGGATTCTTTTTTATTTAATAAGATTAATTGTTTTAAAAATAAATTTATTTTCAAGTCCACAGAGCCAATCAGAGCACTTGACTTAACAGAATGTTCAGCAGTACAGTTTGACTATTCGCAGGACAAAATTAATTGTTTTTGGTAAGTTCAAATAAAACTTTTGGTGTGTTCCTCCCTTCTCTTTCTGTAGAGTTTGAATACAGTATTCCTAAACCACAATATATTAAAAACCTATTCCCCTCAAAAAGTATCCCAGTAAACCTCCAAACCAACCTTTCCATTTTTTTTTTTTGCCCATAGACCATCCCAGTGACATAAATCCACAAAGAGACCTTTATGTATTTTCCTACTAGACTGCTTCCTCTTTTTCAACAAGAAAGGCCAGCAAATTCTTCATCTCCTCTTGTCTTTACTCTATCTTTTTGCTTTTGGGGTAAGCCTTCTCAAACTTGTTGCACTCCAGATCTAGTAGAACTTAAATTCTAACAGCAAAGGCATGCTGTCTGGGGATGCTATGGTTTGTAGTCCAGCGCATTTAGAGGATTCTAGTGCAGGGAAGGCTACTGTTTGGATCATTTCACACACCTTGAGTTATGCATTTGTTGCACTTTTCACATGTAGAATTTTAAAGCCAGCACATACTTTAAGATCATCAGGGAAGCTCTGCTCTTGCTTCCACTGCCGTCTCAAGCATGGCTGGTGGGAACGAGAGAGAGGGCCATCTTGGTGGTGGCCCCTTGGCTCTGGAACTCACTACCCCAAGAGATCAGATTGACACCTACCCTTTTCATTTTCTGCAAGGAGTTTAAAACCTGGATGTTCCACTGTGCATTTGATTAGGCAGTTTACCAGAGAATTGGATTGATCTCTCCATAGACCTTCACACTTTTGTTGGCCCTCCCACCTGTAATTCTGGAAATGCCTAAGGATGTTACTCTCCCAACAGTGACCCGAACTGAATTGAATTGTATTTTGCACTTTCCTTGGGCTATATCTAGGAATGATTGCACATTTCCTAATCCTTCCACACTCAGCACCTAATCTCTCAGCCATTATACTGTGCATTATGATTGTAATGTTTTTTCTGATGTTGGAGTTGATTTTATTTTGTTTCATTTTATTTTATTGTGTGTGTTTTAATCTGTATTTTGGGCTAGTCCACTTGTAAGCAGCCCCGAGTCCCTTCAGGGAGATGGTGGCGGGGTATAAAAATATCATCATCATCATCATCATCATCAAATTCCTGTTTATAGATCTTTAAAACATCTTGACAGATCTTTATAATGTTAGATGTTACAACATTTCACAGACTACAACAAGGGCAGGCTTATAATACTCCTGGTTATTATTCCACTTTAACTAGCATGGTTCTGTCCTATGGGATTAATGGATTTCACAGTTTAAATAACGCCATTTAGAGTTCATAGTCAGAATGCTTTAGTGTAGTGGTTCCTAACCTTTGGTCCTCCAGGTGTTTTGGACTTCAGCTCCCAGAATTCCTGACAGTTGGCCAAACTGGCTGGAAGTTCTGGGAGTTGAAGTCCTAAATATCTAGAGGACCAAAGAGAAGGAATTACTGCTCTAGTGTCTTCCCAGAATGCCATGGCAGATACAATGAAACAATAGTTGTACAATCCTATAGTATGAATGGACAGCTGGCGAACTGTGAGCTTGACAGTGCTGTTGTTCAGTGGATCAGTAACTGGTTGACAAGTGAAATCCAGTGGTTTGTCTCCATGTCAAAGGGAGTTGGGCACCAATATTGTTGAGCATTTTTATAAGTGACTAGTATTATGAAACAGAATGATGATGAAATAGAATGCATGCTTATCAAATACCTCTGCCTCTTAGTAGTTTTCTGTGTTTGTGTGTCTCAGAAAGTAGTTTTTTCTTTGAGTTCAGATAGTTTTTGGTATAGTAAAACACTAATGTGGACAGGAGGTATTTCTGTTTATCATGCTTGTGGTAGCTACTCTTATACGTTTATATTTCTTCCAGCTTAGTATTCCCATTGAGGACATACTATCTCTATGCAAAGACTGGAGTGGAAGCGGATGAGTGGATCAAAATATTACAGTGGAAACTGGTAAGACAATGTGTATTCCACAAGATTAGATGAGTAATTCTTAACTCTTTGAAGGTTTCATTAGGTGCTTTTATGATAACAGTTATGGCCCTTGCGGTCTCTTGCAACTCTTTGATTCTAACAATGGACAGGGATGAATTCCCTTTTTAATTTTCATGCAAACCTTAAAAGAACTTCAGAGAGAAACCTTCAGTGTTAGGCTGACATCCTGTTCTGTTGTTTTGTGCTTAAATTCATTTGCAACACATGGAGACCCCAACGGAAACCTATCATGGGGTTTTCTAAGGCTAGGGTTTGTGAAACTGTAAACCGAACTTTTGAATTCAATAAATTTTGGGATTCACATTTATGGTAATTTAGTGACAGAGAGTTATCCCTCCTCCAGAAAAGAAACCTCCTTTTCAAGCCAGGCAGCATCCTACCTGAAGAGCTTCTGGAGTGCTGTATAACAGTGTCTGCTTAGGATATAATCAAACATGGCAATCTGGGTTAGAATTCACTAAGGCTGTAACAAATGTGTAACCCAGACTGTTTAATGTTTACTATGTATTCCCTGGTTTAGAAGATACGTAGGATATAGGAAAATCCCTCAATTCCAACTTTTGTGATCAATCAGCTATGGGAGTGAGAATTGCAACAGAGACCTTACAATGTGGATAGAGAGTGACAGAGTCATCATCCTTGTCTTTCAATAATACTAAATTGTGTAATGCTACTGGCAGATGGCAGCGATTCCAGCTAAACAATAAGAGAAAAATCAAAACAACACCCCCCAAAAGATGTTTTTACCAACAGAATGCCTTTTCCTTCCCCTTTGTGTTAAATAAACAATGTCTTCTACCCCCCCCCCCTTTTATTCTTTCTCTAGTCACAGATAAGGAGACAAGCACGCCAGCGTAATTCTACATTCAGTCTCTAGCTATTTCCACATGCAATCAGACCGCATACAGACCTATTGAAATAAGAGAATGCACAAAAAAGTATAGACTACCTATAAAAGAGACAAACCTTCAGTTCCTGAGTATACTAAAGCTATCAAATATTAGAAGAACTGGGGAAGGCAAAGTCTTGCAGCACAAGATTTGCTTTCCTCCTTCATACTCATGCTTGGAGATCTCTATCTGGGAGGCGAAGTCCTAAACACCTTGAGGACCAAAGACTGGGAATCACGAAGGTTCTACCTTCTCCAACTTCAGAATTCCTGTGCCAGTTCAGAAGAGAAATTTATGAAACTCTGCACTGTTTTCTCAACATACCCAGCAATGTACCCACACCTATCCTCCTAGGAAACTCCTGAGCAAGATGGAGATGATGTGCTTTTTCTTTCTCATCTGTTATGCAGAAAGTGACCGGCTTCGAAGGTGGATATTCAATTTTAGTTAATAGTCACCAAAGAAATCATGTGCCCTCTGCATTTATTTGATGCTCTTTTCATCTCACTGTAGCCATTGGTCATCTGTATGTTTCCATGTGGCAATGACTGTTGGCAATAACTGGCAACAACCGTTTTTGTATATTCTACTCCCTACAGCATAAGTCACTTCAGTGCATCTGCTGCATTGAATGAATGCATTCCAAGTTTTACAGTTTTAGTCAACATAAGGAGTTTGGATATTTCACAGCATGAGTCATTGAATTGACAGTGAAGATGTTATAAATGTGGTAACCTCAGCATGTTCCCAGGTGATTTTGAATTGTAAACAAGCATAAACATAGAAAAATAAGGCATTCCCTTGGATCTTTAGATGAGCACTGCTATTTAGTTTAGCCTTGTGTTGTTTTCAGTTGTCAGATGCTTATGAGTAGAGCCTGGGCTTGTATTGGAGTATGTGTGGGACATACTTTAATGCGTTATGCCAATAGCTTGACTTTCCTACACACTTTAAAGGGCAGCATTAAGGTATAGGAAGTCATGGTTCTTGGGTCTGAAGTATTATGGAAGCATCTGACAGCAAAGACAGTTGGTAGTGTGCACAGAGGAAACGTCCTGCACCTATAGATGAATGGGTACAATTACTCAGAGTATTATTGCCTCACGTAATAAGATGACCAGTGGTTGTTCCAGCCTAGTAGTGAAGTTACTTTTGTATTTTTAAACCTTTATGGAAGCAATAGTAGTATTGTGTGTTTAGTTTCTATTTAATATTGTTCTGTGTTTGTAGAACATTTTTAAATATACTGTGAATACGACCAGTTAGAATGTGTACACATCAGGACCACATGAAGGAAGATGTGCACATATGTTTTGGGATGGAACTGTATTAAGCATTTTGTACTTTTACTGCAAACTTTCTAATAAATTGAAAACAATTAAAAATATCTTTCTTTAAGAGGATGGCACAACTTAAGCATTTCCAGGCTTTACAATGGGGAGCTCAAGTAGGTTGCAAAAAATATCTCAGCATCTTTTTCCAGGGCTACAGTCACCACAATCTGGTCTTGAAGCGTGATGCTGTTTGGTTGGCAGCTTCTCCAACTGTCCCCTTGGCATGGCCACCCCAGGACAATAAAGACATACATGTTCTGTGCATAACATATAGCTGATTTCCACTATCTGCACCAGCCTTAAAATGTAAACTGCTTCAGGTCCGATTTGGCAAGGAAGGCATGATATAAAACAAACCAACCATTAACATACAGTATATAGGCTTAATTTTGAGTTTATGCCTGCATACATCACCAAGAGAATTTCAGCATGCAGCTGGACAGAATTTTTGTGCAGATTTTTATGTAACACATGTTTGTAGGGATGCAGAAGCTAATACAGTTAAGACAATATGGTTGAATTCATATTGTGGCCACCTTGTGCCAGCAGGGCAGCTGACCAAAAGGTTGGCAGATGGAATCCAGGGAGCAAGGTGAGCTCCTGTCCATCAGCTCCAGCTTTCCATGTGGGGACATGAGCGGAGCCTCTCACAGGATGTTAAAACATCCGGGCATCCCCTGGGCAACATCCTTGCAGATGGCCAATTCTCTCACACCAGAAGCTACTTGCAGTTTCTTAAGTCGCTCCTGACATAAAAAAAAACTATACAACTTTTATAAAAGCATGAATTTCATTGGAAGAGGCAGATGCCTATTCTTGGGTAAATGTCCTTATATTGAAACTTATCTCTCATACTCTAAATCTGACAAAAGCTCTATGTGAATGACTTAAAAATAATAAGAAGAAAGTAGAGGTCAACTGCTAAAATGGTTTAAAATTTTGTCATTTTAAACCATTTCTTCCCATTTAAAAAATATATTGCCATTTAAACCATCTTTTCTTTCTTCTATTTTGGCCAATTATTTTCGCCTAACATATTTTCACAATTATGTTTTATTTGTTTCATCGAAATGTCAACAATACCCAAATCAATTTGAAAAACACCTGTATGCAAGACTAATACTCATTTGCAAGATTAATCTCTTTCTGGCAATGATCAGGCTACTTGTTTTATTCACTCTCTTTTATTTGGATTTGTTTAGAGACAAGCAAAGATAAATGAGCCAGCAAAGCACCACAATTACATATATTCAGATATCAAAGTAAAGTAAGATGAAGCAAAGCTCAATTTTGTATTTTACAAACAGGGATGAAGAGTAAACACACTGATTGATCTGATCTCTGTAAGAAGAGCGGAAGTAGTACTAAACCAAACTAATGTGATTTTTTTTAAGGGAGAAAACTCAGGCTCAAAAGCTTGGACAAATTGCTTTTTTTCGACTACAGCTCCAAGAATGCCTTGGCAAGCATGCACAGTGGATAAGGGATTCCAAAAACCACTTTTGATCATCCAGACATTAGCATGAACCACTGATTGTGTATCAACACTAGCAAAACTTTTCGAGGAAGATTTTCCTCAGGGATAATGTGAAAATACATTTTCTCTTCCCAGTATAGAGTCGCAGCTCAGAAGACGGAAGTAGTCCGCTATTTCACAGGGTGGTGTGGGTGACTTATTTTGTACAGATAGGATCTGCGTGCCTGAGATTAACTCCATGGGAGTCATTAGATAGTCCCCACCATTTAACAGAAGTAGCTGCAGCTGTATCTTCCTTCTCCATGTCTTACTTTATATACACACTGGTATTTCACTGCAGATTTAACCTTATGTAGTTTTAAATTTTAGAATAGTAGGAGAACGTGGCATGTTCTTCCAAACACTCATTACACAGTGAGTTGTTGAAAATACTCTCCTGCTTGGTCTGGAAGAGATGCTGTAACTCTGAAGTGGGAGATGAGATAGCAAGTTAAGACACCTCCACAACTTGCCACAGCTCTTCAAACAATGGAGCCAGTTCCTTTTCCAAGCTTACGATCAATCCTGCACACAAAACAGAGTTGGAAGAGAGATGGGAGAGCAAGATCCGATTATTATATTGGGTAGTAGACGGATTTGTAAACACAAACTGCAATCTCTCTCACACATTCACATATCCACTGAGACAGTGGTTCTCAACCTGTGGCTCCCCAGGTGTTTTGGCCTACAACTCCCAGAAATCCCAGCCAGTTTACCAGCTGTTAGGATTTCTGGGAGTTGAAGGCCAAAACATCTAGGGACCCACAAGTTGAGAACTACTGCACTAAGAGAACTGGAAGCAAATACTTTGCACAACCTAAAATGGATCTCAACTTGTCACAGAAGTCAAATATAAGAGTGAGGGCATTCTCATAGTCTTCAAATGTTCTGGACTCCAACTCCCAGAAACCTTTGCTGCCTTGGCCAATAATCAGGGGTTCTGGGATCTGAAGTCCAAAATACCTGGAAGACCAGAGGTTAGGAAACAATGGGTTAGATTAAGCACAGAGATACCTAAGGATTCAGTATTAGCTATCTGCTCCTTGTATCAAAATGGTGGTTCCTGCCCTCTCCTGAGCTTTAAGAGAATCTCCTTTCCCTTTTCAAGATCAAGAGGAACTCAGAAGGGGAATGAAAAGATCTTGCACCTCAGGACCACTCATGTCATCCCAAGCTCCTTATACATAAATAGGTTTATTTTTGCAGCTTTGCCAGGAGGAACGAGTTTTCTGATTCTGACTGTTGGTGATTGAACTGTCTTTCCCAGCCCTCCTAACTTTGAGACAGGATACAGGCATTGATACTTTGTTAAATGCATCTACCTGTACCATAGTATTGACAGAGTGGAAAAAGAATTGCCTGTCAATTTTATACAAACTATTTTTATATGTAACTATCAGAATTGTTATAATAGATTTTCAAAAGAAGACTGCATATGTCATAGCTGAAATCTAATAAACTGGATGCTAAGGACAGGAAATGTGTCTTGATGTGTAAAACATACCTGTATTGGCACTGCTGCTAGCAATAAAGCTCACCACCAGAGGTAGCCTATTGAACTGCACCACCTGAAAGAGAGAAATCCAACATGCAACAAATATTGTGACATATGGAGTTCATGGATATGGTACATTAATGGTAACTAGATTTAGGATGAAATTAGATAGACTACAATTAGGTACTGTCTGATGCACCATCCTTCAAAATAACTATTTTGAATAGCATTGATATACCAATTCAACGTCAATTAGGAATCATGAAGCATATGGGCTGCTTGTAGTCCCGAGTCTCCAAACTAGCCCTTCAGTATTCCCAGCAGCTAAATATGACATCCTGATGTAGTTTGCAGACAAATCTTGTGTGTCAAAACGATAGGACTCCCAATAACATGGCCTTGCAGCATCATCACAACTTGGTCTTCAAAAAGTTCCTGTCCTTGCCCACCATTCTAATGCTGCATCTGTCCCGTCCCTACAGTTATCTCTATTTCTTCCTTCCTTCCTCAGAAAGTGAAAGCAAATTAGATGCAAGAAAAGTGCTTATTCCTGTTGCTGTTGCCATTGTGCGTTTCACTGTAGGCCTGCCTACTTCCTATCTGTGGTCTTCAAGCTGCACTATGGACATTTTCCCTAAGCAGTAGGGACTACTGAGAGATCTGAAAACACACTGTTAGAAAGCTGGTACTAGTGGCAGCAGCAAAAAAACAAAAAACTTTTCCCTTTGACTCCATCTTCTCAAGGAGGAGAAAGAAGAAAAGAGAAGGTTATCAATAGGGTTGGGATGATGATAGAAGGGTGAGAAGGAAGATCTCATTGGCAAGGGGAACAGAGTTTACTGGTGGTTTTGCCCACATATAAGCAGCAAGTCTCAAAGCTGACTCTCCAACTCCTATGGATTTCTACTACTATATTCAATACACAAACTGGGAATTAACCATTGCAGTTCATCATGTCAACTTTTCAGCTTGCTTCATTCTATGATGCAACTGCAAGTGCAAAACACAATTAGGAAGCTAACTAGACAGTAGCCATGAGAAAATGGATAGCCATGAAAATAAAAAGTCCATGTTTCACAACAAACACAGTCCATCAGCAATGTAGTTTTTGGATACAAACACAGGGAACAAACATATGTCTGCCAAAAACAAAAATATCCCCAATATAAAATGTCATTCTGTCAATTTAAAATGGATTCCTTAACCAATTATTGAGCTGATCTCATACCTGGTAAGTATTGTAGTAACAGATAATACTCTTGTTTTTTGAAAGCCCCAGTTTGCTGCCTTGGTCAGTTGCAAGTGCAAAAGTTGACAAGAAGCCAGGTCGAAGAGCGTGCTCTGGAGCATTATCATTGGCAACTAGAACAACAACAACAGCCTTTTAACTGCCTCCTCAATGGTTTACTATGGACACATTTTGTATGGAGCAATATAGTTGAAAGAACATTTTTCCTCTAGTAGTAACATAAATATACATAATTCATGTGCTTAGTTCCCTAAAATTAGGATAACAATGCTGCACAGTGGCATTTGATATCAGTGTGTTCCATAGGCTACTCTTACAGTAAGATGGTACAATTAGAAAGGACAAGGAAATGCAAGGAGCATCACTATGATTACATTAAGACATCTTATAAGAAACTCTCTTTGGATAGAAGACCAAACCTTTTCAGGTTCTGAACATTACAAAGGTCTAGTGTTGATTCATTTTTATTTTGATTTCCAGCAATTCCGGCACATTCTAATTTTATAAACCAAGGTCTATTTTCAGCATGTCCTGAGAACTATTGCCTAATATATGGCTTGGCATTCAGTATGAGTTGATTTCTGTTGTTACTGGTGCAACAGAAGGGAAGCAGCTCATACCATTGCCCAATATCGAAACGCAAAGGAAACACTTCCTCAAACTGAGTCTATTTTTCCTCTCATCCACGTCAGAAAAATGCATCACAGTTGATGAATGCATATTTGCACTTCCTGATGACCTTTGCTCACATATAGAAGACTGCAATCGAGTTTCATGAGGGCACTCACATGTTTTGAATTATACAAAACTTTACCTTCGGGCATCAGAACCCACTAAGGAAAATTCCAGGCTTATATCTATGAGAAGTAAAAGCATTTCTTATTTTTCTCCATTTCTATTTTGGTGAACATGTTTTTTTTGGCTTAGAAAGATCATAATTATTACTCACCTTTTATAACTGGTACGCCATCTCTGTCAGAGACTACAATAGCATGAAGACCTTCAACACTGGAAAAGCAAAAGAAACCTTTTAAAGGGCTACTTGGTGCTGATGTTACTCTTTTGTTTTTTTTTATCCAGTTAAGCAACTGCAATCACTTTTTACCCAAGTACAGTATAATTATGGAGCCTCCGGTGCAGGAATGGGTTAAACACTTGTGCCAGCAGGACTGCTGACCGAAAGGTCGGCGGTTCGAATCTGGGGAGCAGGGTGAGCTCCCATCTGCCAGCTCCACCTTCTCATGTAGGGACATGAGAGAAGCCTCCCACAGGATGGTAAAACATCAGGGCGTCCCCTGGGCAATGTCTATGCAGTTGGCCAATTATCTCACACCAGAAGCGCCTTGCAGTTTCTCAAGTCACTCCTGACTAAAAAAAAGTATAATTATATCCTAAGACAGTGTTTCTCAACCTAGGGGTCAGGACCCCTGGGGGGGGGGGTCGCAAGGGGGTTTCAGAGGGGTTGGCAAAGACCTTCAGAAAACATGTTTTTCTGATGGTCTTAGGATCCCCTTTGCCAGGGAAAGCTGAAGATCTCTTCACCTGTCCTTCTCTTTCGTTTTTGGAAACAGACGGTGAATCCTCCCACCAAAAGCCCTCCTCCACTGTGATTGGCCAGCTTCTCAGCCAGTCCTTCAGCCAAGGGCAGGGCTGTTTCTGGGGCTCCAAGCAGGGAGGGGAGAGTAGGCATGCTCAGGGCATGACAGCATGGTGCACACATGTGGGCAAGGGAAAGCATGTGAGGCTGGAGGGAGGCTCGCATCAGTGAGTCCATTCAAGGCACGGGGGTTCTGTGTGGGAAGTTTGGCCCAATTCTATCATTCGTGGAGTTCAGAATGCTCTTTGATTGTAGGTGAACTATAAATCCCAGCAGCTACAACTCCAAATGCCAAGTTCTATTTTCCTACCAGTGTTCACATTTGGGTACATTGAGTATTTGTGGAAAGGTCTAGACCTTTTATTTGTGGAAAGGTCTAGACCAATCTATTATTGTTTGAGTCCACAGTGCTCTCTGGATGTAGGTGACCTACAACTCCAAAACTGAAGGTCAATGCCCACCAAACCCTTCCAGTATTTTCTGTTGGTTGCGGGAATTTTGTGTGCCAAGATTGGTTCAAGTCAATCATTGGTGGAATCCAGAATGCTCTTTGAATGCAGGTTAACTATATATCCCAGCAACTTCAACTCCAAAATGACAAAACCAATCCCCCCCCCCAACCCCACCAGTATTCAAATTTGGGCATATCGGGTATTTGTGCTAAATTTGGTCCAGTGAATGAAAATACATCCTGCATATCAGATATTTAAATTACAATTKATAACAGTAGCAAAATTACAGTTATGAAGTAGCAACAAAAATAATTTTATGGTTGGGGGTCATCACAACATGAAGAACTGTATTAAGGGGTCGTGGCACTAAGAAGGTTGAGAAACACTGTCCCAAGGCAATGTTTTAAAGACAGTGAATACATTGCAGGAAGGAATATGAATGTATTATTTGAAAAGTCAGATACTCCAGAGTCCATCCCCCCCCCAGGAAACAAATTGAGAATTGGGATGGAAACTTCAACTTTATATTTACTGAACCAGAAAATAGATCTCAGGAAATACTTCACCTTGGCAGCTTTTTGTACAGGAACCTTTTCAGTTCCTAGAAGGGGAGAAATGAAAGAATATTTTGATGTCACATATATATCTTTTGTTGCTTTCTGTCTTCAAATTTGCCTTCATAGGTTTGCTTTCACAGGATTTTCTTAGCAAGATTTGTTCAGAGGGGGTTGACTTCGCCGTCCTATGAGGCTGAGAGAATGTGGCTTCCCCAAGGTGATCCAGTCGGTTTTAATGGCCTAGCAGAGATTCAAATACTGGTGTCTAGAATCTCAGTCCAACACTTAAATCTCTTAATATTTTTATTCCACAAATATTAATTCTTTGAAAAGTTTCCTAACTCTCTTTCAGAATAGAAATTAACTTTGGAACAGGAGCCCCAAGTGGTGAAATTTTGCTATCAGGATTGCTGACCAAAAGGTCAGCGGTTCAAATCTGGGGAGCGGGGTGAGCTCCCTCTGTCAACTCCAGCTTCTTATGTAGGGACTGTGAGAAGCCTCCCATAGGATAAAACATCCGGGCCTCTCCTGGGCAACATCCTTGCAGATGGCCAATTCTCTCCTACCAGAAGTGACTTGCAGTTTCTCAGGTTGCTCCTGACATGATAAAAAATACAACATTGGAACAGGAATGAAAATATATTTTCTTTTGCCAAAGGCTGCATAACCCATTGAAGACCATTGTAATTAAGACCTGAACCATTTCCCTCATGATCTCTCTCTTTCAGCCCTCTTTGAAAATATCATTTTTAATGTAATTAATTAATGTGTAATTCAAAATTACAGGTTTAGAAATTACCTCAGCCAGCAAGGCCCTGCTGGCTGGGAAATTGTGGTAGTTGTATCTCCTAAAAGCAACTTTCCAAAACTTTACAAAGCTTTAGCTCTTGCAGAGGTCTGATTTAATCACTTGAGAACTTCTGATATCAGCCAAGAACCACAGGTTGCCCAAACGTGGCCTAGAATAAGCAGCTCTTTCCACCCATACCCATAAATACATCCTGAAACCCCCCAGGACTCTATAAATTGCACTGAGAATGGAATGATTTTGATCTTTTACAAACGGTACAATAGTAGAAAAGTCAAATTCCTGTCAAGGGATTGTTTGAGTAGTAAGTGCAGAAATGCATTCAAGTTATATTTATACTTACATCAGCCATGTTATCCCAAATGTTACAATCCAATAAACTGTACCAATCACTAGGGAAACAAAGAAAAAAAAACCAAATTACACACTTTGTGACAAGATAATAAAGCAAAGTAGGAAAATCTGTTTTGAATGGCAGTCCCACTAAAGGGAATTCCAACTTGGTATTTTGTACCACTGGCTATGCTGGATATGGCTGATGGGAGTTGCAATCCAATAACATCCAGAGAGTCACACATTTCCTATTCTATCTGATTTGGAAATCCTCAACTTACAAATAACAGAATAGTGCCAGGCTGGGGATCCTGTCGCCCTTTATATATTGTTGGATTGCTATTCCCATTTGTCCTACCCAGCAAGGAAATTATAAGGAATTCTGAAAGCTGCAGTCCAACAACTATAAAGAAACTGGGTTGCTGTGAGTTTTCCAGGTTGTGTGGCCATGTTCCAGAAGCATTTTCTCCTAGAGAGAATGCTTCTGGAACATGGCCATACAGTCCAGAAAACTCATAGCAACCTAGTGATTCCAGCCATTAAAACCTTTGACAACAAACTATTAAAAAAACATACTTTCCCACCCCTTGCTTATGGGATATTGCTGTCTTGGCCAGTGTACTGCTTTATAATCACACAAAACAATGGATAAAAGAAGCATCGCAAACACTATTGCTTTTTTGCTGCTAACATTTGATAAGCTGTATCAGGAAATCATGAGATGTTATTCCACACTGTCATATCCTTGAATGATAACCATGTAAACTTATGCAATCAACGCTGTCATCACACTGTTGCAACACACAGAACATGGGGGAAATCATGGCAGAAGTCATAACCAGTTATGTGGATATTGTAATACAGATTGTATTGGCTTCTGTTGAGTTTCCAAATAACACATAAAAAGAATGCTGGTTTTCCCACACAAAACCAATCACACTTTGTACTTCCATTTTGGACTGGCTAATACCGTAGCAGCTCTATAATATTCCAATAATAATAATAATAATAATAATAATAATGGCTGCCATGACAGCTACTCTATAATTTATACTGTATTAAAATACAGTATTATTATACATGCTAATAAAGGCTTATTGGATTGGAGAGCTGGTTAACTATTTACTGCAAAGGTGTTTCATGTCATTTCACTGTACACAATATTTGGGATAAGGTTTGAATGGAATTTAGGGCTTGGATATATGTTGCTGTAACAACAAACAAGGAAGCGAATGTTTGCCTGAATTCTAACTGCTAAGCCTCACCTAGGCCCACTAAATCAATAACTGATGAATGCATCAACACATATGTAAATTTCTGAGATTCAAAGGATCTATGTATTGTCGAAAGCTTTCATGGCCGGAATCACTGGGTTGTTGTAGGTTTTTCCGGGATATATGGCCATGTTCTGGAGGCAATTTCTCTCCTGACGTTTCGCCTGCATCATAGATGCAGGTGAAATGTCAGGAGAAAAATTGCCTCCAGAACATGGCCATATAGCCCGGAAAAACCTACAACAACCCATTCAAAGGATCTACTTTAGTTGAATTTAGTGCCCTTCCACACAGCCATATATCCCAGAATATTGAGGCAGAAAATCCCACAGTATCTGCTTTGAACTGAGTTATCTGAATCCACACTCAGATAATGTAGGATTTGCAGTCTTGATATTCTGGGATATAGGGCTGTGTGGAAGGACCCTCAGATAATCAAGTTCAAAGCAGACATTGTGGGATATAATGTGTTGTTGATGGATTTCATGGATTTCACTGGGTTGGTGTGAGTTTTCCAAGCTGTATGGTCATGTTCCAGAAGCATTCTCTCCTGACGTTTTGCCCACATCTATGGCAGGCATCCTCAGAGGTTGTGAGGTTTGTTGGAAAATAGGCAATAATAATAATAATAAACTTTATTTATACCCTGCCACCATCTCCCCAATGGGGACTCGGAGCGGCTAGCATGGGGCCAAGCAAGTGAGGTTTATATATCTGTGAATGTCTAAGGTGGGAGAAAGAACTCTTGTCTGTTTGAGGCAAGTGTGAATGTTGCAACTGGCCACCTTGATTAGCATTTCATGGCCTTGCAGCTTCAAAATCTGGTTGGTTGCTGCCTGGGGGATCTTTTGGTGAGATTTTCTGCCTTGATATTCTGGGTTTTATGGCTGCATGGAAGAGCCCAAAAAGAGGCTGAGTAGCCATCTGTCAGTGCTTTGACTGCATCTTCCTGCATGGCAGAATGGGATTGAACTGAATGGCCCTTGGGAGTCTCTTTTAGTCTTTTTATGATTGATGTTCAACCTGTATTATAGTAGAGTCTTGCTTATCCTACATAAATGGGCCGGCAGAATGTTGGATAAGGGGAAATGTATGATAATAAGGAGGGATTAAGGAAAAACTTATTAATTACATTATGATTTTACAAATTAAGCGCCAAATCATCATGTTTTACAACAAATGGACAGAAAAAGCAGTTCAATACATGGTAATGTGATGTAGTAATTATTGTATTTACGAATTTAGCACCAAAACATCGCACTGTATAGAAACAGCTGTGGATCCAGGAAGGAGGCGAACTACGTTGGACAATATAGAACGTTGGATGAGCGAAAGTTGGATAAGCAAGACTCTACTGTACTTCCCTCAATCAAGACCTATGGAAGCAGCCAAATTAAAAGCAACCCTTTTAATTAGAAATCGTGAAAGAATGCAAACTTCCCAGATTGTCATGGATCTCGGGTGCTCCTTCTCTGAAGATATGGGGTGCATCTGCACCATAGAATTAATGCAGTTTGACACTCCTTTGTCTTTTAGTATCTGTCCACGGAATTCTGCTCAGTGTTTCCTTCATTTTTCGGAAATCAGCTCTCCTAAAGTCCAAAATGGGGGTTTGACTTGTCTTAGTTTTGGGCATGTTTAGCCTGAAGAAGAGAAGGCTGAGAGGAGATATGATAGCCATGTATAAATATGTGAGAGGAAGTCACAGGGAGGAGGGAGGAAGCTTGTGAGAGCCGTTCAGCAGTGGAACTCTCTGCCCCGGAGTGTGGTGGAGGCTCCTTCTTTGGAGGTGTTTAAGCAGAGGCTAGATGGCCATCTGTCAGGGGTGCTTTGAATGCAATATTCCTGCTTCTTGGCAAGGGAGTGGATTGGATGGCCCATGAGGTCTCTTCCAACTCTATGATTCTATGACACCACTTTAAGGGTCATGGCTCAATGCTAGCTGTGGAATCATGGAGATGTAGTTTTGGGGGGAAGCACCGGTGTTCTTTGGCAAAGGAAGCTACAGACCATATAAAACTACAACTCCCATTATTCCATAGCACTGAGCTATGGCAGTTAAAGGGGTGTCCAACAGCATTAATGAACTGATGGTCTCCAGAATCATAGAATCATTGAGTTGGAAGAGACCTCGTGGGCCATCCAGTCCAACCCCCTGCCAAGAAGCAGGAAAATCACATTCAAAGCACCCCTGATAGATGGCCATCCAGCGTCTGTTTAAAAGCCTCCAAAGAAGGAGCCTCCACCACACTCTGGAGCAGAGAGTTCCACTGCTGAACAGCTCTCACTGTCAGGAAATTCTTTCTAATGTTCAGGTGGAATCTTCTTTCTTGTAGTTTGAAGCCATTGTTCTGCATCCTAGTCACCAGGGCAGCTCTTCCTCCCTATGGCTTCCTCTCACATATTTATACATGGCTATCATGTCTCCCCTCAGCCTTCTCTTCTTCAGGCTAAACATGCCCAGCTCTTTAAGCCACTCCTCATAGGGCTTGTTCTCCAGACCCTTGGTCATTTTAGTCGCCCTCCTCTGGACACATTCCAACTTAGATTCAACATTGTGGTGGCCAGAATTGGACACAGGATTCCAGGTGTGGTTTAACCAAGGCAGAATAGAGGGGGTGGCATGACTTCCCTGGATCTAGACACTATAGAAAGGAGGGAAAGAGTGGGATACATAGTATGCCTGCTGCAATGGAAGCAAGACGCCTTTAACCCCTTGGCAACCTTTTCCTCTCATTCACCCCCTTGGTGCCTTCCTCTGGTTACAAACCTCCCTTCTTTCCCGGGCGCCCCGCCTGAGAAGTCCTGCCTGGATCCGCAGCTGCATCCCCTTCAAGCCTCTGCTGTCATGTGACTAGAGACTTTCTCTTCCCTTTTCCTGTCCCTCACTTCCGCTTTGGAGCAGGGGAACTTCCGGTGAGAGAGGGCCAGGCCTTGGGAGGGAAGGAGGAGCCACGTGGTAGAGTGCAGTTGGTTCAGTTCAGTGTCTCCCAAGCGTCAATTAGGCTTATGATCACCTGTAGAGAGGTTGGCTGCATGATTGTCTTAAGCGTAGGGTCTTTCCAGGTGTTTTGGACTTCAGCTTCCAGAATTCTCCATCGTTGGTGAAAGCATCTGAGGCTTCTGGGAAATGAAGTCCAATAAAAGGATTGGCCGCCTTAGAGCAGTGTTTCTCAATCCTCGCCAAGGACCATCAGAAGTGTGGGAAGTTTGGCCCAATTCTCTCTTTGGTGAAGTTCAGAATGCTATTTAATTGCAGGTAAACTATAAATCCCAGCAACTACAACTCCCAAATTTCAAGGTCTATTTTTCCCAAATTCCACCAATGTTCACATTTGGGCATATTGAGTATGCATGCCAAGTTTGCTCCAGATCCATCATTGTGTGAGTCCACAGTGCTCCCTGGATGTAGGTGAACTACAACTCCCAAACTCAAGGTGAGTGTCCACCAGACCCTTCCTGTATTTTTCTGTGTGCCAAGATTGGGTCAATTCCGTCGTTGGTGGTGTTCAGAATGCTATTTGATTGTAGGTGAACTATAAATCCCAGCATCTACAACTCCCAAATTTCAAGGTCTATTTTCCCCAAATTCCACCAATGTTCACACTTGGGCATATTGAATATTCATGCCAAGTTTGCTCCAGATCCATCATTGTGTGAGTCCACAGTGCTCCCTGGATGTAGGTGAACTACAACCCCCAAACTCAAGGTCAATGTCCATCAAACCCTTCCAGTATTTTTCTGTTGGTCATGGGAGTTCTGTGTGCCAAGATTGGGTCAATTCCATCGTTGGTGGAGTTCAGAATGCTCTTTGATTGTAGGTGAACTATAAATCTCAGCAATTACAACTCCTAAATGTCAAGGTCTGTTTTCCCCAAACTCCACCAGTGTTCACATTTCGGCATATTGAGTATTCATGTCAAGTTTGCTCCAGATTCATCATTGTGTGAGTCCACAGTGCTCCCTGGATGTAGGTGAACTACAACTCCCAAACTCAAGGTCAGTGTCCACCAGAACCATCCAGTATTTTTCTGTTGGTCATAGGAGTTCTGTGTGCCAAGACTGGGTCAATTCCATCGTTTAACTCCCACAATTCTGAACAGCTAAGTGTGGCCATTCCTGGTGAAGATGGACTAAAGCTGGAGAGTCCAGGCAGAGTCATACAGTCTGTCAGGTAGCTATATAATTAAGGTAATGGTATCTTTTGAACAAAATATTTTCAATATTTGATTTCTTTTTAAAATTGATCTTGCACCAATTAGAAATGCACAAATCACACCATGCTATCATCCAGTGCTCCACTGGCTTCTTCACCAGGTGTTAAAGGTCATACAGAGAAGGAGAAAATAATATTAGAATTTCAGGGCTTCATTTTGTCAAACTTTCATTTTTGTTGTTGTCAACTAAGGAGGTCTGGAAAAGTATCAATGAAAGCAGAGATCACTTCCTTCTGTTGTCTCTGGGAAACAACATGTCCTTAAGTTCAGGCAATAAAATGTGAGCTCCACTGGCAAAAGAAAAAGTTAACTTCCCTTGATATCCGGAAATCCAGCACTTACAGAAAAGTGACCAGGTTAAGATATGTAATTACATACTTACAGGGTTATTCCAGTTATTCCATTGTTGGAAACAGTACCAACTCACATAATGAAAAGTCCATTTACCAAAACAATTGGGGTCACTAGCAGCAGATTTGTTTCCCTGGATTGTGGCATGATGAGCTTTCACCAAATTAAAAATGGATGGGAACAAAAGCAAAGTCAAAAAGTAATTGACAGATTCAGACAAGACCTGAAACACTGATTGTTACATCCAATGTGTAATGCTCTTCCAGTAGTTATTATGATGGCACACCAGGAAGATCTAATGAGAAACTAAATGTGTCTGGCTATTTTCCCAGTGACCATCGGTATGCCCTAAATTACTTTAATACCTCAAAATAAAACTCTACAAACAAGATTAAATTCATCAATTGTTTACTGAATAATCAAGGTATAAAAGTAGTTTGATTATGATGGTGTTAGAACAGTGAAATATAAACTCTGAGGTAACAAACTATAAACTCTGGGGCAAATATATTCTAATCTAAAATCTATAAACTTTGGCAAATATAACTATTCTATTACATGTATATGAACTATCTATAAGGCAAATATAACTATTCTATGGCAAATATGTATTATCTATGAACTATCTATCTATAAGGCAAATATTATCTATTCTTTATTACAAATACTATAAACTCTAAGGCAAATATGTGATAAGGATGGCCTGTTCAACTTGCTAGGCCAGACCAGACACTATCTGGCTAACTAACTTCAAGCTATGACCAACAAAGAATGCCATAAGAAGTTCTATCACCAGCCCATTCTGGCTCTGAGTCAGAATGGGCTGCACCAACCGAGCCCGGCCTCTAGGGGGAATCTAAGCTTCTCCCCTAAACTTGGCAAAATGGAACAGTCCAACAGGCAAACAGGGAAATAAACAGGCCGAGACTTCACAGTTATGGTATTGTTAAAATGCTTTCATACTCTGAATAGAACTGTTTTGAAGCTCCTCCTCTTTAAGTCTAAACCGGTGTGTCTACCCAAGAATTAAATTTCAATGTGTTTAATTAAATTGTAATTCAAGGATGACAAGTACAGGATTGCAGTGTTAGGTCCTATTCCAGGATGAGAATCAGTTTATTTTCCTGGAATACTGCAGCATGATTTACTTTTCTTACAACCATTTGGTATGCTACTAGGCATCCGAGGTGGCCTCTATCTTACCTTTGAGGAAATCCTCAAATGTTTTGCCCTGTGCTTATCTTTGCCTGTGATTTTTAATTCCTTCTCCTAATGTTGTTTTACCAGCAACTTCTGCTTTAGTGACTACATTGAACCCTTGTGTTTATGAGTATCAGAAGGGCAGCATTCAAATCTGGACTGTTAACAAAATACTCTTTAAAGTGGAAGTGTATTTCATTAACTCTTCTCCCCAAGAACTAAAAAACAATCAAAACAAAAACCCCTCTAGAAAGTTGGAGAACACTAAGAAATGGTGACAATTGAAGGGAAAATTCATTTCCTTGCCTACCAGGAAGTTCCACTGGATCCAAATTCCTTGCAGCAGTAGAAGAGACTTTTTGATTAGTAGAGCAGAAAGAATAGATCAAAATCATGAAGACTGGTAATTAAAATTGTGACTATTCACAAACACATATTGTAGTTGAAAAAGATGAACCACAACATGAATGCAAATAAACTCTTTGTAAATTGTCTCCTTTTTATATGCAAGTACCTGTGACAGAACTAGAGAATCAGATAAAAATGTTTTATTCACACCGAAAATAATTTTATTTTGATACAAGTCTGATATTACATTAGGTAAATTACAAATTAGATTTTTAAAAATCTAACATTACATCTACAGTTAAATAACATATATTTTTGTTAAGATGCCAGTCTCAATTTCATAGAATTTCAATTGCAGGGTGTCTGTTATAAACTGGCAAAGCATGATTCACAAATAGATCTCTCATCCTATCAGCCCTTCCAAAACTAACACTGAAGCCCTTTCCAGTTTCTAGAGCTGTCATGAGACACATATGACAGTTCAATTCCTAAGCACTTGCTTAAAAATAACTCTTATTGCCAATGTCAAGTTATGCTTGTAGTCTGACATGTGTCATGCAATCCCAATAAATTAGTAGTCACTATCAGAAAGTCATCCATTGACAGCAATTGTTCTGAAAACATCATTTGTCTGTAGGGCATTGGTTATTTTTTACAATTTAGTAAGTGCAGGAATGATTCTGTTTATCTTAATGTACTTGGGAATCACATTGCACATGGACATTCCTTTCTTGTAAAAACTAGAAAGTATTTCCTCACAGTGCAGACAGTTTTGGAATATATCTTATTGAGAAAACATAGGCTAAACATCAAGAGCTGCATCAACCATTTCAGCCTAATGGATCAGCTTCTCCATCAACTATATTCACTAAGATGAAACTCTTTTATGTTTCCAAAAAGCCCCATCAAAGGCCATTAAAGTTTTTAAATTGTGGGCCACTAATGGATTCTACAGCATTTATTTAATAATGACAAGGTAGCTTTCTTGTCTCATAGGAAACTCATTTCTCAAGTCAACTTAAACAATAAAGTTCTTACAGCTTCAAAGAATCCCACCTCAAAACGTAAAAGCTCAATGAATTGTCAAAGGCTTTCATGGCCGGAATCACTGGGTTYTTGTGAGTTTTCCAGGCTGTATGGCCATGTTCCAGAAGCATTCTCTCCTGATGTTTCACCTGCATTTATGGCAGGCATCCTGAGAGGTTGTGAGGTCTCTTGGAAACTAGGAAAATGGGGTTTATATATCCATGGAATATTCAGGGTGGGAGAAAGAACTCTTGTCTGTTTGAGGTAGGTGAAACTTTCAARTGGCTACCTTGATTAACATTTAATGGCCTAGCGGTTTCAAGGTCTGGCTTCTTACTGCCTGGGGGAATCCTTTGTTGTGAATTGAAACATTCACACCTACTTCAAACAGGCAAGAGTTCTTTCTCCCACTTTGGACATTCCACAGATATATAAACCCCATTTTCCTAGTTTCTAACAGACCTCACAACCTCTGAGGATGCCTGCCATAGATGCAGGCAAAATGTCAGGACYGAATGCTTCTGGAACATGGCCATACAGCCCGGAAAACTCACAACTCAGCACAAAAGCTCCTTTGAAGATGTAAACTTCTTGTGAAACTTTTTAATATAGCGGCCGTATACACCATTTTTTTTCTTTTGGCAAAAATTGATTTGCTTTCATGGAAGCTCCCAGGGAGTGTCAATATTACATTCTGGGAGAATTGGGAGGGGGGGATTAGAGCCCTTTTTGGATCATTGGAGGATAACATACACATAGAAACAAAAGCATTTTGAGGGGTTGCAACCTGTGGCAGGTCCCTGGGAAACACTGAACACAGTACATGTTTACTTCGAGCTAATAAAAAGGTCATCTTTAAATCATTAATGCTGCCCACATTAACATATTTCAGATCCATGTAAGTTCAACAATTTTGAAAGATACCATAAATTCATGTGTTCTATAGAACTTGAAAGTCAAAAGAGATTTCATCTCCACTTGTGGTTCACCCTGCTGGACACTTCTGTCTCTACAATGTGTGAAGTCTAGCAGTAACACTTCAGCCCCTAAATCCACTGTGAAGTGACTGAACCAGAAAACATACACAAACCAAACTGGAAGTGGTTAGGAGTCCCACATCAGTTTTTAAAACCTCCAATTGAGCAGGGAGATGGGAGGACAAGCAAAGCTGTGGTTCCTGGATGCTTGCAGGAGTGAAAATACTGGTATATTCTATCTCTTTTATGAGGTATTGGGGTGAGTGCAAATAAGAATAATGATGATAATAAAACCTGGGGGCTCAAAAGACTCCCTGGGCCTACTGGAAAAGAAAGTTAAGTAACTATTACTAGTGATATTGCATATAACATTTTATGTAAATTTAAATTAATTTTAAAGTGAATTTTGCAAATTGCACAATCCTGTAATCCACAAAATAAACTAAAAACATAGAATTTGAATGTATTTGCTGAGTGATGTAGAGCACAGGAAATCTGCTTTGCAGATGATTGGAGGTGTTTAAAAAATCTTATATACAAATTATTCAGTATTGCTTTGGATTGGAGCCACTTGGGCCGAGGAAGTGATGAACGAGAATAAGAACAATTGATCTGCTCAATTACTGAATCTGCTTTTTTAAAAAAACATTTTAAACATCCTTTACCCAACTGAAGTTACCTGTGCAACTCACAGCCTTCCTGTTCTGTGGTTCTTTCCCCTCTGAAACACATTTCAGATATACATTACAAAAAGTTTATACAAAAACAGTTGTAATTTAGATTGTGGCACTGAAATCGTGCTGTAGGCTTCCAGATAGGCCTTAAGTATGGGGAGAAGTTTGGTTTAACATAAAAACTGTGTCCAAGCAGTCCTATGAATCAAGGGAAATTGATCTCTTTAGAAATGTTCAATCTATTTTTTAAAACTTACCTGTATGAATTAGACAACACTGAGATTTACTACAGAAAAAAGGTAATATATTCTTACCTAAATTAAAAATTCTGACAGAAGCTGAAACAACTCTGCAGGCTTGTTCTATGTTCTAAGATAATTCACAGTTGCTACCCTTGACAGCAATTAAAACTAAAATTAAAAAAAGAATTCAGAATTTGATGTGCAGTAGCTTACAAACATTTGCTAAAATCCTCATTTTTCAAGCACCAGGTCTGCTATGTTTTAGTGTCTTGAAAACTGCACATTGCATTTACACTAACAAAAGTGACTACATGCATATTTCTTATACGAGTCCTCAAAATCTAAACCCTTCATTACATTCTTGCTATTCAACGCTCTTTATAAACTTCCATTCTGCACACATCCGGACTGAAACACCTGTTCTGTGACTTCTTAGCTGGGATGATTGGGCCAATGTGAAGTTCCAGGTACAACTAATAGCAGCATTTCAAAACAACCTGAGAATCAACAAAATGGTTCAAAGGCACAAGGCTTAAGTCCAGGAACAACTTTCTTGAGCAGTCTGATATCCAGGTTAACAAAAATGCTAGGCTGCCAAACAGCTATTTATAAAATACCAAGCTGCTTGCAGATTTACAGCATAGGAAATTCCATGCCTTCCATGTTGAAAGAATTTGCAACTCAAAATGTTAAAAGGGTGGGGGATGCAGCAGCAGTGTGGTCTTTATTATGCCAGGTTTTCTTTTTAGTGTATCAGAAGAAGCAGCATGCTAAATGGAATGTTTGTATATTTCAGTTTTGGGGTGACTATATTTCACTCAGCAAGAAATAGCCTGGTGTGGATTTCTCCACTGTCACTGCTTAGATATGAAGTGTTCAAGCTGCAAGAGGAAAATGCTGACATTCTGGCAATAAACCGGTTTAATCAAGCATTTTAACTTTAAATTAACATGGCCTACTAAAAAAAGATACTAAGTTTCTTCAATATAGAATTGTATGCAAAAAAGTTGCCTGTTCCTTTCGGTTCCACATACTTGATACTTAAATAAAGAATGATGTAGTCATATCATTTATTCCATCCATGAGATTAAAAGCTTTAATGACTCTAAATATGCCTTAGAGATTTTAACATTTTTATATACACACTAGTGTTTTTCCCCCACACATATTTACATGGCAAGTATTTCAGAAGGAAAACCATTATGTTTACATTTCTACAAGTGGAGCTAGCCAATCTGAGTGGCTTCTTCCTTGTAGAAGAATTCACAGAAGCATTGGGAGTAAAATTCAAAGAACAATTCAATGATGTAAACAAACCTTGTCATATATTTCAGACTAAGCAAAGAGGCTAGTAAATGATATTGGAACTTCAGGATAAGGTTTTTGGAAACAGCTACACAGTAGTTTTACATCCCTCTTTTTTAGCTGTCATGACAGAACAGTATTTCCTCGGTTTACAGGTTTTTTTCTTTAAACACATAAAGATTGTGTACTTCAGTGCAGTAGCTCATCCTCCTCGATAGAGGCTGGTCAATCGTTCTAGTTCTTTGCAATTATCCATAGAAATGGCTTCTGCTTTCCTTCGAAGTCGTTCATCTCGGTACACTTTTGCTGCATATAATAAATCTGTTTCTTTAAAAATAAGAATGAAATGTGAGAAAGACTTAAGCACCGTAACCCCATACTTCTGTATTATATCAACACTAAATGAAAATAATTAAAATCCATGTACCATCTTCTGAAGATGGTGCTATCCTGGTATGAATCATGAAATACCAGTTCTGTCCTCCTCCAATTAATGCAATTTCTCCAGAAGTATGGCATACCTAATGGCAATGAAAGCCTTTGAAAGATCTAGGATAACCTTAGGTCTCCTTGACTATCTATCTGCAAAGGATACCTTGAAGTTTCAAGAAAGTTTTTGATCCAAACCAAAGGCTAATATTCAAAACAGATATTTAAAAAATTGGTTTCAAAGTAAAGTAAAAAAATAATATATGTGTTCAGATCACAATTTCTTTTGTTCTGTTGCATAAATTTGTGTGTGTTACATGGCAAGTATTTCAGAAGGAAAACCATTATGTTTTAAGGTGGCAGATATTTTTTCTCACAAGTTTCTCATCAAGAATTTTAATATGTCTTCCACCTTTATGGGGTGGGGTGGGGTGGAGGAGATCAAGGATTCAAAATGCTGCAAGTGACCTTTACAGCAGCCTTATGAGGGAGCTCAATATTATCATCCCCATTTTGGGAAATGGAGATGACCAAGAGAAAAACCGCTTGCCTAAGACCACCACCTGTTATCATACCTCAACTTGGATGCTACACTACTACTGGCTCTGCAAGCTCTTGCTATATGTAATATATTATAACATGTGAGTATGAGACTACTGGGGGAGGTGAGAATAACCCCAGATTTGACATGACAGAAGTTATCTTCCCTTTTCCAGCATCTCTTGTATAAAGTAAAGCATTATGCTTATATTTGAAAAAAATATTAAATGTCTGCTGAAAGTTCAACTTACTTTGCTGTCTTTCTTTCCAACAGTTATTTCGGATGTTTGACACATAGTCTTCTTCCACACTCTTTTCTACCTTCTGCAAATTTGGACCTTTGTATTCATTTTTAAAGTCTTTGTTGACATAATAGGGAATGCGCAAGTTTTCGGTCTTCATCTCAATGGTCTGCCCTGAACCTCTGTAAATAAATTCCATATTGACTGTTGGCTGGTGTGATTATTACAAACTCAGTGATCAATAAACAAAGGTCAGAAAACAAAATTATACGATTTTAAAATGTAATATGGGTAGTTACTGTAAATAGTTCTTTACAAACATGTTACCCTCAGAAAATATCCCCAAGATCTCTTTGCACATACCTTTGATAATACCTATAAATACTGTTTACTAATTCACAGAGCCAGTTGCTCTTGGTGCACTAGTATTTTTGTGAAAACATGTTTATTCAAAATATATATTGTACATTGAATACACTTTACTCCACCTTTCCTTAAAAAGAGCTTAAAGCAGTGTAAAATACATAGGCCCACTTTTATTCTCTTGACAATCCTGGGACAGATTGGACTGGGAACAGCTTGATTTAAATAGTCCATATTCACCAAGTAAACTCTGGCTGAATGCACAAACCTACAAGCTGTTCCAATTTGGTGGTAACAACAACAACTATTTATATTCCGCTACCACTTCCCAGTGGGACTCAGGAGTGGCTTACAAAACCAGCACATATTACTGATATAAAATACATAAAATACAAGTAAATACAGGTAAAATATATCAACATTAGTAACAACACAATATCAAGACATTAACAAAACTTACAACAGTAAAACCCAAATTAATTTAGATAAAATATTCAATAAGAATACAGTGATAGCAATCAAAATGGATAATACTAGATTCCACGTGACATAAAGTGCCAGAGTCAGTTTGTTTGGTCAGCTGATGTCTTAGGCATTGTCAAAAGCCTGCTTAAAAAGCCATGTTTTTAGCTTCTTCTGAAAACATTGCAAATTAGGGGTTTGCCTAATTTCACTGGGGAGGGTGTTCCAAGTGGTACCTTCCATAAGTATCACACTGCAACTTCCATGCTATACAGGAGATGGCAAAAACTGAACTCCAACACACCTAGAACACACCGGCTTTGGGACTGCTACCTATTAAACCACTTTCATAAAATTGAGAAGGGACGGATAACAAACACCAGCAATGTTAACAATCACAGAAACGAAGAATATAACAGGAACCACTTTCTAAACTACCTCAAAAGTTAATAGCCTCCTCACTGTAGTCTTTGTGTTTGGTTTTCATATACTCTTTTTCTCTCCTTCATGTCTAGTTTGCCAAAACCTGTTTGGAACTTGTTATAATGCAGTAAACATTTCCCTAGGTTTTACTGCTACTGTTTATTACAAGAGCCATATTAAATATTGTGAAGGACAAACAAAGGTCACTGTTACTCATAAAAATAAGGGATAAGTACAAACTACCATAGGGGTTAATACTTTGAAGTTCATCTTCTGAACAAAGCTTTGGTGGTAGAAAACTATCTGATAATGGAAACAACCACATTAATTCATCAGCTTTGGAAATTCCATGCTGTCATGAGTTCTGCAAAACTACTGTTTCATGAAACCAGATATTGGCTAGCCATTAGCACCACTGTCTTAATAGTCTTTAGTAGAAAGAATTATTAGAAGTAAAAGAAAGTAATTTTTAAACAAATCAAACAAAAACTGCACATAAAATTTTCGTTCCCCATTATTGCCACTCACATTTCATTTTTTTTGCAGAGAATTTACCCAACACACTACTACACATTAACAAGTGGGAATTATCATGAGACTCAAGACTACTTTAAGGTTCAGACACATAACTCAAGTAGCATAGAACACTGATTGATTCCCACCTCCCACCAGACTAGAATCACTTACGATCTTGGATATAAGGAATAAGGAGGATTAGACACCATCAGCTGGCTCAGCAAAGAGACAAGGATCAGCACAATAATTGGCATTAGCTGAATGAACATAGAGAAGCCACCCTGAAAAATGAAACAGTTGGACAAAATATTACTGTTTTTTTTAGTTTAAAGGAAGATAACTCTTGTCATCCTGCTGTGCCTTAATCAACAACTATTTCAAATCAAACCCCTATCTAACCATAACTTGAAAACTTCCAAAAGAAGCCATGTAACCTAACCAAGCATGTTGTATCAATTATCTTTTTTTTTTTGCAATGCAAGACTGGTTCCCTATCTATATCTCTATTTTCTGAACTTTGAATTCCATTCATTTTAGCTAAATAGAAAATATTTTGTCAAATTTTATCTCAAATGGACTAGATAAAGATTTATGAATTAAAATGGACAGCATGTTTTGACGTAATTTTGAATATCACATACTTTAAAAAATATATTCTGGGCCCCCTTTGTTTTGTTGTTTATTTTGGATTTTTTTTGTAGATTACTATCTCCTGTTTTTGCATAGAGGCTATTTGAATATCTTGCATTCTATAAATCTTAATTTTGATTTTTGGTAGGCCAAACATGTCTATACTCCTATGCAACGAGGATATAAAACCAAAATGAGAACTGTCATTTCTAATTACTTACATTTCAATATGGAGGAGTCCCTTATTAGTAAATCAGTAGCCATCTGTTCATTTAAAAAGTAATGTCCTAGTTTACAAAGCTGATGTTAAAGGCGGCTGATATTACCGTTATCCATTGAAAATCTGCTTGATGCAATTTAGGGTAACTTTTTTTTCAAGATTATAAAGTACAACATCTGTAAATGTTGTACTTCAAAAGCAAGCAAGTGCAAGTGTTCCATCATGGTGTCACCTAGACTAATTTACACTACAATGCTATTAGGAACCAATCACACATGGAATGTGTCCAGAGGAGGGCGACTAAAATGATCAAGGGCCTGGAGAACAAGCCCAATGAGGAGCGGCTTAAGGAGCTGGGCATGTTTACCCTGAAGAAGAGAAGGCTGAGAGGAGATATGATAGCCATGTATAAATATGTTAGAGGAAGCCACAGGGAGGAGGGAACAAGCTTGTTTTCTGCTTCCTTGGAGACTAGGACGCGGAACAATGGCTTCAAACTACAAGAGAGGAGATTCCATCTGAACATGAGGAAGAAGTTCCTGACTGTGAGAGCCGTTCAGCAGTGGAACTCTCTGCCCCGGAGTGTGGTGGAGGCTCCTTCTTTGGAAGCTTTTAAACAGAGGCTGGATAGCCATCTGTCAGGGGTGATTTGAATGCAATATTCCTGCTCCTTGGCAGGGGGCTGGACTGGATGGCCCATGAGGTCTCTTCCAACTCTTTGATTCTATGATTCTATGGAGGAAAACAAGGCTTCTTTACCTTTAAGAGTTGAACAAAAGCAGTGTACTTAGCTCCTCATTCACCTAGCCAACAATGGGGGGGCCTGGAAGGTGGCTCCTATCCCTTAATAGGTCAAATTATGTACCCATTGGTCCCTAGTGAAGCACTGGCTGAAACTTGTTATTTCTGACCAGAGATGGACAATTCCACTCCCTGCTAACCCGCACCAATCTGGGGGATAGCATGGCAAGAATCCTCTTCAGACTGGATGTTCCCTATTTCTGATATGAAACACCTCTCTACTTGCCTGGGAATAAGGTATCATGAAAACAGTGAATCTTACATATGATTCTACCATTACTATTGCTACACATAATATTAAGATTTTAACTTTTTGTATCGGATTAATATTAAGACATTGACTGACTTAATCAAGCTGCCCAGCACACTGCTTTTTAATTTTAGCCCAAGGAAGAATATCCTAGAAAAGTCAAGAATAATTGCATAACTGAAGGTAAACGTACATCACCCCTTTCCTCTTCTCTTTCATGTCCACTATGGCGATGCTGATTATGATGACTGTATCCAGACCGTCCATTGGAAAAGGAATGCACACTACCTACAAAAGAAGCAATATTCAAAAGCCCATGCTGAAAAAGGGAAATACACACACACAATGAAAAAAAGAGATTTCACCATACTCATATGGCAGTAACATCATAATGTAATGTGTAATATAAAACAAGATAAGCATTGTTTTGCCCTTTCAAGAAAAATATAGAACTTTTGGTCGGGGGGGGGGGGGTATCTTTCACTGGAGCTTAGTGGTTGGTGGATGAGATAAGTTTTCACAAACCTCTTCTTCAGATCTGGGAAGCGTCAATTAAGTTCCACATTATGTAACTCATGGGAATTATGTTCTCACCTATGGGAACCTTCCCAGTATCATCCAATATTAGCAAGCAACTATAACTACAGTGTTTACAGAATGTTAAGCAGACTAGGTGGTAAAAATAATACTACAGTAGAATTGGTAAGGGATAAATTTAAGATTAAATGGCAGTAGGAATTTGACAATAGGTAATATAATTCATTTCAATGGGTAAATTACCTGTTGGAAAGGCCCCTCCAAAGAACATATTGAAAAGGTCTTCTGGAGTGATATCTGCTTCACAGCCCCTGTGGAAGTTAAATCTACCATTGCCAGGATGGCTGCATTGTTCTTCACCACCTGTGAGATCATACTGCTTTCTTTTTTCTGGATTGCTTAACACACCATACGCATTTCCAATCTCTGAAAAGCAGAACACCACAGAGCAGGGCAAGAGATTTAAAAAATCATTTAAACACACCAGGAAGCCAAGAAAATCTCTATTTTATTCCAGTTCTTTTTATTTTTTCTTTATTTACTATCCTACAAACGTTTCTCTCTTGCTTCTCTGCCCTCCCCTTTTCTCCCCCTGTCCCTATCCTTCTTTTTTTGCCTATATATCTATATCTATCCAAAGCTTTGATTTTTATTTCAACTGTATTTTTAGAAAAAACTTGTCTTAAATAAAGATTATATTTTTAAAAAAATCATTTAAACATTTATATAAGTAGCAAGTGAATGGTAAATTGCACTTGCATTCGGTCGTGATCAGACATTCAGCTAGATAGATTGCACTCCAATGCACATTCGTAGTAATATGTATGGGAGTTACTATGTGCTACATTGTTTAAAAACAATCACATTTTGTCCTCCATTTTATTTTGCTGTGAAAACAGCTGGGAACATAGATAGATGTATACCCATAGTAACAAGATCAACAGGTAACACAGTGCAAAGGTTCCTCATTAACATGTCCATTGTCTCTTAAAGCATGTGCAATCTTGAACAAACCTATAAATCTGTCTATGCCAGATTTTGGCAACAGATTACTCAGGAAAAGAGAAAAGCAGCTAAATGTGGTTGTCTGTAAAAACAGAAGATTTTTGGAAGAAAGTATGGTGCTCTCAATTTCTGAACAGTATTTGAAAACACTTCCTCTTCTATTCCCTTCCAGGAAAGATTGTAAGTGAAGTTAATGGGCAAGGGAAAGAGATGTACACAAGCACGTGGACAATTTAAACAGAAATGAGGAAACCGTGAAAAAGAACAAAATCTGGCTACCAGGGGAATTCCAGACAAGAATCAATTAGGGCCAGCTAACACCTCCCAACAAAGGAATTCCTCAGGCAGCAATCAGCCATGTATTGAAGTTACAAGGCCATTAAATGCTAACCAAGGTGGCCAGTTGCAACATTCACATTTGCCTCAAGCAGACAAGAGTTCTTTCTCTCACCCTGGACATTCCACAGATATATAAACCTCACTTGCCTCTGAGGATGCCTGCCATAGATGTGGATGAAACACCAGAAGAGAATGCTTCTGGAACATGGCCACACAGCCCGGAAAACTCACAGAAACCCAGAGATGTTGCTAATTTCTTTCTTTTCAATAAGTAAAGGGATTTGTTTTTAATATACAGTCTCTCTTGCTCTCTTACTCCTAGAACCCAGTAAAAGCCATTCAAAAATCTTTCAAACCACACCCTTCATTCTGGGATACATTCTTCCCAAATACTTTCAGAACCTCCTGTGATTCTTCATTCCAACTACAAGTAGGTGTTTTTTTTTTAAGTAACAAGGAAATTTTGTTTTGCAAATTGACTGATGGAATAGGCAGTTATGGACACAGGCCTCTTACTTTTCTCTTGTTATTTCAGACCCTCCTTCCTTCTGCAGTTCCACTTGCCACTGGGTTCTCTCTCTGAAGCCCACATTTCACAACAGAAAGTACAAAGGAGGAAAGATGGCTCAGAACATTTGCACCAAACTTCATTTATTTGGGGAATGTTTTCTGTAAATAGATACTTCCCATGCATAGGTAGGACACAACAGAGAAGGCAAGTCAACATTTAATTTAAGAATAAGACTTGCAGTGAACTCTGGGTTATGTGGAATAACATAAGCTATGGTTTCAGTCCTTTGCCATTTTTCTTTCTACTTTCAGTATGGGTGGCAGCATGCTGCACTCAGTTGGTGGAAACACACTTCTATATTCCTGTTAGCAGAAATAACTTTTGGCTTCCAAACCTAAAGATAAATTATATGTTTCCTGGCCACGTAACTAACTGTACAGTTGCTGTTTGGGGTTGCACTTTATGAGAAAGGTGGAATATCAATAAAACAGAATCAATTCAATAAATAATAATCAACCCATGTTTCTACAATACAGGCTGTTCACAAATTACGAACAAGATAGGTTCTATAATTTTGTTCTCAAGTTGAATTTGTTTGTAAGTTGGAACAGGTAACTCTAGCCAAAGATATACATGTTTAGCTTTGGACGGCATAAGAGAGGGTTAACACCCCTGTGATGTTTGTTTTGCTGTCTGTGCCCCTATTCAGAAGATTTCATTTCACCTTCTGTCTGGTGACAAAATTTCAGTGGAGACACCTTTTCCCCATTATAACTCTTCCAGGAGTGAATTTCCCCCCTGAGGGGGAAAATTCTCTCACTGTCATTTGTCTCTCCCATGTTCTTAATTATGAGTCACTTGTAACTTGGAAACTGCCTGTACATCCTAAATATTGCTGCCATTATTAAAAACAATAATATGGCCTCTTTCCGTCACATTTTTCACCATTGCTTTGCCAACTTGATTAAAAGGTTCTGAATGCACTGGGCTGCAACCAAATAAGCAGAACCAGAACCAAAATGGCCACCAAAATTGGTATGCTTCTCAAGAGGGCTGAGCAGTCAATGCTAGAATAGATGGGTTTTAAGAAAGTTTCAGGCTTTTGTCAGTAGAAGTGGTAGAATATATTTGGACTTGGTTTCATTTTTTTCACACAATGCTCTAGAGTAGTGGTTCTCAACCTGGAGTCCCCAGATGTTTCTGGCCTTCAACTCCCAGAAATCCTAACAGCTGGTAAACTGGCTGGGATTTCTGGGAGTTGTAGGCCAAAACACCTGGTAGAGAACCACTGCTCTAGAAGATCAACAGCAGCCCTCCAGATGTTGTAGGACTACAACTACCATCAACAAGGACTGTCATTTCTCTACCCTAGTCTAGAATGCAGAAGGGTATCTCTGGATCAAACCTGCTGTTAAAAAAGGATATAGTTTTAACAGATCATCCTCAGTAAAAGATGAACAACTTCTTCCCTGAATTTTCTCTCAACTACAAAAAAATGAATAATGAAATGTTACTTTTAAAAGCTTCTGTTGCTCCTGGTGCATGATTTTTGTCTGGGTGGAACTTCAGAGCAAGCTTTCGATAAGCTTTCTTCAAGTCTTCTTCGCCGGCATCTTTGGACACTCCAAGAACTTCATAATAATTTTTACATTTCTTTATACTGCAGAGGAACAAGAAGTCGTTTTTAGAATACAAAACCTTAGATGAAAAACCAAAAACAACTAAGCTTCAGAGCACAACTAAATGTTATTTTTTTATGTTTTCTAAGACTATAAAATTAGTTTCACCTAATACTGCTACCATATAAAAGACTATGATGTGTACTTGTCTTCATGCTTACTTTACTCATCATACAACTGCTCATGAAACACACTCTCTGTTGATATGCATGTGTATGAAGACTAATTTTTTTATTTCAGCAGAGTTCTTAGAAAACCCCTTTGCTACTAAATGCAATTTATTAATAGTTTATACAAAACAGACACATTACAGTTAACAAAGTAGTGTGTTTCTAGGCATTATTTCTTTAACAGAAAATTTGGTACCAGAGGCAGAAATAATACAAAAAAGAATAGATTCACATACGATAAAAAAGAGCAAAACTAATGTCCAGGTCTAGTAGGTGTTGCCTAACTGTAAGAATACTTAATTATTATTATAGTTAGGCAACTATAGTTAGGAGACTCAGGGCAACTTCCAAAGGAAAATGGCAAACATTAAATGCCAGGATCTAAACATTACAAACCTTCTGGAGACTGCTACAAAGCTTCTTCCAAAATGCATTTAGGGATGCTTTTTCCCCTTTCACCAGTCTCCTTATTATTTCCATTTTGATGGCCATACTTACAGAATAATTTTTAATTTTGGGATAGCTGGTGAAGAAGGCTCCCCCCCCCCCCCCAGGGCCGCTTGCTTTCTGTTTTACATGCTTACTAAAGAATTTTCAGGGCAGTTGCTATTTACCTCATCTATGGTAGATAGGCACACAGTCTGCAGTAGAATTACTATATTAGAATTATATTTTCTCTGAGCTCAAACTTTATTACATTGTTTACTGCAGACACACTGTTATAAATGAACACTAAAGTCTCTGTTTGGGGGCAGGGCTGAATGAGAACAAAAAGACTTTGGGGGGAAAGGAGCATCTTTCACAAGGATTTTGCTAATTGCAGTATGCTTGCATTCGCATTTAAAACTGGAATTTATTTGAATGGAGCAAAAAAGAAAATTATTTCCCTTTATTTATTTTTTTTACTTGTAACTGAATGTTTAAAGCGCATACATAATACTCTGTCTTAGTGATGGTCATTTAATTTCTTACACAAACAATATAGCCTAAGAATTCTCCAAATAAATCATAAATGCTCAAAAATAAAATTAGGTTGAAACATGAGAGTGCACAACATTTAGAACCTTAGCCTGTTGCAGCTTTTCTATTTATAAGGGCCAAACTAGTATCAGACCAGTGACGTAAGCAATAAAAAAGGGCTTCAGACTACAGGAAAAATGTGCTGGAACAGACAGCAATGCTGGATCGACCAGAGAAGTGATAGCTGTTCATAAGGGATGCTCTCATCTTTTATCCCTCATCAAATATCACTGGATATAAAATAGGCACTAAAAAGTACAGTAACTAACATTTGGCTCAGTTCTTTATTTCGAACTTATTAAGAAGAGGTATGTTGTATCAGATTGAAGGACTATCTTCTTAAATAAGTATCTTGCTGAGCAACCAGATATCTGTGGGTAACTTCTAAGCTGGACTTGAACATAGTATTTGCTAGACATCCAACAACTGGCTTTCATTTTTTTCTGACACCAATGAGGGTAAACATCCATCTCACAGTGGGACTGGATATATTAAGCTCTGTGGCATGGCAATGGGCAAAGATCGGTAGTGTTTGCATCTTGAGAATTATGTATGAAACTGTGTAGGGATTTCTCAATGGTGCCGCGGCACCAGTAGGCCCTCACCCTCACCCTTCTCAAGGATGCTGCAGACCAGCAGGCCCAGGAGGGCCATGCCATCACTCTCTTCAAGGCTGCTACAGTATCAACAGGCCCAGGAGGGCCTCGCCATCGCCCTCCTCGAGGCTGCCGCGGCACCAAAAGGCTCAGGAGGGCCTAGCCATCGCCTCTACCAGGCTGCCATGGCACCAGTTGATTTATTGTTGTTTGATGTTTGTTCGTTTTGGCAATAATGTTTGCCACTTTGTTCTTTTGTCTGTAAACCGCTCTAAGTCCCTTTGGGGAGATAGGGCAGTATATAAATAAAGTATAATTATCATTATTATTATTTGCAGGTCTTTTAAAGAGAGACTGAATGGTCATCTACCAGGAGTGCTTTAATCATTATACTTTTGTAATATATTTTTAAAAAAACATGTTAGACAATTTGTAAGGTTAACTAATTACCATAACTTCATTACATTATTGTATTCATTTATATCCCGCATTTCTTCCATTTATGGCATTCAACACAGATTATAAGATACTTAAAAACAATCCAGAAACTTCTGAAAGAAAATCTGAATATCTGCTAAGCAAATAAGCAGTTGAGCCCTATGGCACTCGAAAAGCTAAAAGATCGATAGTGCTGATCCTCTTCATAGAAGAAAGTAGACTCCTACCCAAAATTTGGCAAAGTTAGTTTTCTGGAGCAACAATTTGAACTTGGTTAGGTCAAACTTGATGGTACTGAATCTCTTCCTCACTTTAAGAGCTATGAACAAGAAAGGCACCACTCTAACTTAAGGTGAAGGATCCAATTTATCCCCTCTACCAACAGGATTTTACGAGTATAAGATTAGGCATAAATTTCACCTATCTCCCCATCTGAGCTGCCCCTCTTGCATGCACTCACACACCCTGCCCCAGAGCTGGAGGGACCCCAGATGAATGTAGGGGATGAATAAGATCATATAACACCCCACTTTACTGACAGAAACTTCCTCTTGGCAGACAGAATTAGCTGGATTCCATAGGAATTTAAATACAATTGCACATATTCCTGAGATAGCAGCATTATAGGAACATGGTTCTCCATTTCTTTTCTATGTAGCCATTGTTCATTGTTCTTTACTAGAAAACTACTGTACATTCATAAATCCTTTTAGAAGAAAATCTTACCATACTGCTTAACTAAATGAGCAGCCTTCTGCTCAACTACTCCTACTGTATTTGCATGATCACTCAGTAATTATGCAATCCGTAAAGGGTTATTGCATCTTGCACTGTTGTTCTCAGTTGAGCAAAACTGTTACTGAGCAACACAGTGTTGAAGGGCTGCAACAATCTGGATTTGTACATTCTCTTGAGTATAGAATATCGAATGAAATAACATATTTGAGAGCCTGTTTATATTTCTGTTGAGCAAGACACATTATTCAGCTTTCATTAACAGCAAAATAACAGTAGATCTCTTAGAGATCACTTCTGCAATGTTCTCTCAACACTCTTGCCTAGAGGTATTCACAGTAAAGATTTACAGCCACTCAAAGTACTGTGGAATCAGATCTGACATCTCTGTACTGAAAGAGGACATAAAATGGTTAGAATTTCAGGCTGCACCCTCTACTGTCAAGCATAAGCACTAAACGTAGACGTAAAAATGAAAAGGCTTGAGACTACAAAAAGTTATTTCCTTGAATAAAAAAGATAACAAGAGAACCAGTGTGGTGGAGTGATTAGAGTGCTTGAATGGGAAAGTGTGGGTTCAAATAACCACAGACTCATGGTGCTCACCAGCTGACCCTGTGCCAGTTACAACAATTCAGTCAATTTTACCCCACAGAAGGTAAGTGGAGAGGAGGCAGGAATGAGGAATAAGCTTATCCACACATGAATCAAGCCTTTCTGAGGAGGGGCAGGATAAAACAGCACTCAAACAAAATACCCCTAGCTAACTGTGTGGCTAGGTCATGTATACCAATTTTTAAATGCTTGACTTTATAAACACTTAGGTGGAAATTAAGTGGTCTTCAACCTGTGTGTTGCCCTCAGGGATATGCATTGCCCAGAGCCTCCAAATGTCACTGCTGGTCAAATGTGAACTTTTTTCCTGAAGGCCTGCAAGAACAGTAAACCATGCTCAATCCCCCACCCCATGATATTCTAGGAATTTTTCAACAGAAATGGCTTTCAGCTGTGATTTTAAGCACCGAAGAGCCTACCCTAGGGCCAATATTTTCCTTGAGACTCCCCACCTATTTCACTATGTGCAATTTATAATGGATCTTATTCCTCTTACATTCTATGGTGATAATCCACTATATGCTTGATGATCTCACTTTAATTGTTAAAAAATTCCCAAAGGAATAGTTTGAACAAACAATACCAGGTCAGTCCATAATTATTTATCCTACACTGTACATGGTTATGACGGAATAATCTAATTGTAAGGAAATATTTACTGCATAAGCAGATATGACAAAAGTTTCTAATGCATACATGAGGGCAAAACAGAAAATATTTACCCCTAACTTTATAGGACATGCACAGTCTAATTAAGTTAAGCATCTTTCAAGCAGAGAAGAATTCAACAACTTGACACAACCAGTGCCTTTACACGCAGAATTTTCTTAGCCATCACATTTACTATGTTTCAAACTATTCTAAATCAGATCAGACTTCGGCTGATAACACAGCAGTTGTTCACTCAGTCCATGAGAACCTCCTAAAGCTGAAGCCACATAGCTCTTGCTGCCACTAGTGGCAAGATGGCAAAACCAAAAATGTAACTCATGGTTTAACCACACTTGCGTAAGAACATTCCAACCCTATGCAACAGTACTGTCTTACAAGATCTACTCAACACATGATGTCATCACAAACTAAATATTCTTAAGTATAGAGTCAAATACAGTGGTGAAATCTGAATGGGACTCTTTAGATAGTACTGATACATAAAGCCCAATTGTGCGGGTAAAGAAGCCACCAGTTTATAGAAACATACCTTTGTACTCCTTCCACTTGATCTTTGGTGTATGTCTTCCCAATTTCACCTGCAGCAGTTGAACTGCTGTCCTTCATATTATTAGGTTTACTTTGATCACTGCTATTTGCTGGTTTTCGACAGTACGCACCAGTCCCAGCAGCACTCCCATTCTTCATAATTGCTTCTAGTAACACTACAGAGAAAAAAAAACCAGAAGCATCATAAAGATAGCTGTTTGTGACACAAGAGATGTATAAAATATAGGCCACTATAAAGTAATCCTAAAGATAAAATATTGCCTAAAGGAAGGGAAAAAGAGATTGGGTTTCTTCAAGTACCAGAGAAGAATGTCCTTTCCCCCAGAAAATCAGAGACTGGATGAAGCAGTTCTTCCTCTCAGTCATTGTTAAGAGTTATCTTTCAAGATAATCAACTATAAAAACTAAAAGACAAAGGTATGTGGGTGTCTGTGAATAAGATAGTATCATTCGACAGAGACTGAAAAGTTACGCTCTTTTACACCCCAGAATCCAGTAACAGTCAAAGTTCTTACAAACCTTAAAAAAGCAAAAACAAATAGAATATATTTTCATTCCTACAGTTGATGCCACGATACACATGATGATACAATGCAACCAAATAAGATAAGACTGCTAGCTATACAGGTACCTTTCAGATTTGAAGTATTTTCCATTATTAAAGAAACCAAACGACTGATGTTCCAACCTCACAATTGCCACCCAACAGTTCTAAATCTATAAAATGTGCCTATATTAGAGTTCAAAAATACTTCTTTGAATTGATTAAAACATTAAAGATGCAATATTTAAATACACTAATAATCTGGGAACATTCCTACTGAACTCAGATAGATTCCCATCTGAGATTTAAAATATTTAGGATCACAGTGCCCTTCTCTTGCCAAAACTTGACATTCTACATTTCTACTCCTGACTTTGATAGAGACATCATTATTATTGACAAACATTATTATTATTATTATTATTATTATTATTATTATTATTATTATTATTTATATCCTGCTTTATCTACCCAAAGGGGACTCAATACTCACCTAAACCAATTTCACTCTTACCAATACTGCACAGCAATGCTATGAATGTATCAGAAATATCATATATAAAGCTGGTAAGTATGCCTTAGAAATATTGCTTAATATCTAGGGAAAAGTGTGGGGAAAGGGAACATTAGTCATGCGGAGTCAAGAACAAAACAAGTACACCTACTATTTTGAAATGGATTACATTGAGCAACATAAGGAATGAATTGGGTCTTCAGAACATTGATGAACAGTTAAAACCTGTTTCTGGGGGATTGGGAATGGCTGGTTTCAATGAAAGAAACAACCCTCTCTTCTACTGGGATAAGCAAATTAAGAAATAAAAAGAGAAACTAGGGTCACATGGAACTTCAGATTATATACAACTGGGATGAAAGAGCAGGTAAGAAAAAATATCCTTGAAAAATATTTGCTGAAATTGCATCAGGCAATTCCAATTTTGCACCATGGGTATACATAGTGAACTTACAGAAATAACCAATCATGCATGCACTAAAAAGGACAAAAAAGTAATTCTCCTATTTGTCCCACTAAAAAAATATTACAGTGATACTTATTCCCTTGATTCTAAGGCAAAGGCCTATGGATTGAAAGAGATTCTGACAACAAGTTCATCCATTCTTTATCATGCAGATAAGAAAAAAATATCCTTGAAAAATATCTGTTGAAATTGCATTAGGCACTAGGATTCCAAATTTGAACCATGGGTATATAGTGAACTGACAGAAATAACTAATCAGGCATGCACTAAAAAGAGCAAAAAAGCAATTCTCCTATTTGGCCCACTAAAAAAAATATTGCAGTGATACTTATTCCCTTGATTCTAAGGCAAAGCCCTAGAATTGCTCTCATTAAATTAAGTTGATGGATTGAAAGAGATTGTGACAGTAAGTTCATCAACTCTATATCGTGCAGCTTATGATTTAAATTCATATTTAGTGAATATTTTTAAATATGAATCATTATTTGATTATCTAAAATAAGATCTTTTTCCTGCTGATATATATATAACAAGGTAAAGAAATACCGTTTCCTCAGCATCTTATCATCAAAATTTGAATGAACCGGAGGGATAAGCCAAAGAGTAAACCAAAGATTACATTAAAGCAGACATCCTCAAACTGTGGCCCTCCAGCTGTTTGGGCCTCCAACTTCCAGAAGCCCTAGGCCAGTGGTTCTCAACCAGGGGTCCCCAGATGTTTTTGGCCTACAACTCCCAGAAATCCCAGACAGTTTACCAGTTGAAGGCCAAAAACATCTGGGGACCCCTGGTTGAGAACCACTGCCCTAGGCAGTTTGTTRWATGGTCAGGAATTCTGAGAGTTGGAGGCCCAAATAGCTGGAGGGCTGCAGTTTGAAGATGAATGCATTGTCTTGAGAAGTTAACCAATAAATGGAAGCTTCATTCAATTTGAAATTCTATGCAATTTTCTGCACAATCCTATGTACACAATTAAGTCTCATGGTTCAATGGCTGTGACATTTCTGATTTARTACTATCCTAAGGCAAACCAGGGTGGTTGATTTTAAAGTAGTTATGGCTGATTTTAATGTTGTGTATATTTATAGTTATATATATGTTGTGCTCCGCCCTGAGTCCCCTTTGTGGTGAGAAGGATGGAATATAAATGTTTCAAATATATAAAAATAAAATAAAATATCTGAACACTGGACTACGATTCTAGAGATCAGGATTCAAATCCCTGCTCAGCCATGGAAAACTATGGGGTGACCTTGGGAAAATCACACTCTCTGGGTCTCAGAGGGAAAAAAAGGCAACTCCCCCCCTTTGAATGAAAAAGAAAATCTGTGATAGGTTTGCCTAAGGTCACCATAAGCTGGAAAGAATTACAAGGCAGAAGAAATAACGGTACAACCTATAACGAGAGTTTCTTAGTCAGGTTGTTCAGAGGCTTACTACTGCTATCCTCTGAGGTTGGGAGTGTATGACTGGCCCACACAGTATCATCCAGTCTTGTTTCATGGCCAAGTTGGAATTTAGAACCTGCTCTCCCTAGTCTGGCAATAAAACCACTACACCATGCTGGTTCTCAATGGAGCTTGGTTTTTGATAAAAGAGTATATTCTAACCTATGAGAAAGGCGCTCTATTTCATTCAATAGAATTCATTTTCAATTAAATCTGGAGGATAATGTTGTTCCTATTTGATTTATTTTTCTGTATTGGTTTTGTGGGATGTTGCAAAGGCTAGTAGTAACTAATGTGAGCTCCTTTAAACACATGATGAAATTTATAAGTGATCAATTTAAAGCATTACATACAACAAAATGGCGTTATATACAGCAGTGCGAGCTATATATATTTGATTGTTTTTTCAAAAAATTGGAGGATTCAAATCTTTCTTTTATGAAATTGTGTCTTCATTAGGCTTTTAATGATCTGAAACAACATTCTGTGAATTTAAAAAATATGCATATGGGCTCAGTCTGAATGTAGCCTCAATTAACTTGGTATGTTTCATTATTTGAAGCATATGCTTATGTTCCTTCTGTAAAATATGGCCAAGAAATATCAAGTCGTGAATTTCAAAAGAGTTTAAAGGGGAAATGTTTCAGCGATTAAAATTAAATGGGCAATAAATTGCTGGTTCTTGTATAGCAGTCATGTAATGCACCCAAACATTGCAGCCTTTGCCTCACAAAGGATTGTTGTTTTAAGCTATGTAACATTTGCAAGGCTTTCTACACAAGCATTTACTACTACCAGCTATCTGTTACAGTATACAGTAACACAATTGCTGATGGCAAATTTTCCTTCTCTAGAAGGCTTGTAATTATAATAGAAGGCTAGGAAACAGATCTTAGAAAGACTACAATACCCCAAAATCCAGAACTGCAGGGTTTTTTTTAAAAACAAACAAACAAAACAAACAAACAAACCAATTTTATAGTACTATAGAGCATGTTTTTTTAAAAAAATCAGAAGGCAACCACTTTATATTAAAAAGAACCAATTTAACCATGATATTTATAGAAGACTCAAACAGGAAAGCTGAGAGTCACACATCTGAGATTACAGACATCTAACAGAAGTAGGTCATACTCCTTTACAACAGGCCTTCTTGAAAATTCTGTCTTGGTGGAAACTATGTAACACCCTCCAGGCGGTGCTAAACTGCAACTCCTAGCAGCCCTGTTCAGCATATCAAATGGAGAAGAGTGCTGGGAGTTGTTCAACAACATCCAGAGGGCTGCAGAATTTCCACAATTGCTGCAGATGATATATATGTATTTCTTTGCTAGGAAGGAGTGTAAAGAACGTTGATGTGAGATGCTTAGAGAGGATTTGTACATCTTCCTACCCTGTTAAGAGGCTCTTGAAAAGACTTGAAATCTCATAATAGTTATCACTCCTATAAATGAATGCAACCTCCCATAGTGCTATTATATGAAACCTTACCTATGGCAACTTAAGAGTAAGTCCCACTTACTTTTCTTATACAGTTCTGGATACAACTGCATAATCAGCGTGCTTATTGTATATATATGATCCTGTTTCTAAGAATGCCAACAGACAACTCACACATTACCAATTGTTTTCCCTACAACACTATATGGGGGAGAGCTTTGAAAATAAAAAGAAAAGAACTGATGAGAGGGGTTGAATGGTTGAACAGGTTCTTCCATCAGTTCAACAGGCATACAGAGAGGGAAAGATGTCAGATTATCATGACACTCTATACACTCACTCTGCCATTCCTAAAGTCACCAGATCCCATGATCTTGGAAGCTATGTAGGGTCAGCCCTGTTTAGTACTTGGTTTGAAGACCTCCAATGAATGCTAGATGCTCTAGGGTAAATTTCTGAGGAAGAAACTGGTAAAACCAGCTCCGAATATTGCTGGATTAGGAGAAGCTTTGGAAGTTCATGAGTTTGCCATAAACCAGCAATCAATTTAAAGGCACACTCACTAAGTTTACTATGGCTATCACTTTGATTTGCATATTTACAAATGTGCCTATCATAAACTAAATGGGTAGTATAAAAAGGAGGAAGGTACAGAGAGAGAAAAAAGACTAGTTTTATTTCAGCAGCAGCTTTCATGGATATAAATTTACTTTTTCAGATTCCTCTTCCTTCTCATTTTGATGATGCAGGAGGCTAAAAAGTCTATTTATTTGAAAAGTCGTTTCAGATTGCAACTGGGTAGTGTTAAGACTACAACTCTATCCTCACTCACGTGGGAGTAATCCCCCATTGAATTTCACAGGGCTGAACTATAAGGCAAACATTTTTTGCATCTAACAACAATCAGAGAAACTGTGACATTGTTTACGTAATTATAATATATATGATGCATCTTCAATGTTTTCTCTATCTGGGGAGAGAATTATGCTGCTCTCCATATTTTGCTGAACAACAAGTCCCAGCATTCCTCAGCACTGGGAGCACAGCAGTGCAGAGTAGTAGCACCACCACTACTTTGGTTTGAATCTTGTTGGCTAGCCCAAAATAAAGAAGACCCACTGGCTCAGATATTGAATGGTGAGTCATTAGGTAGACACCAGTATGTTCCCATTCATTCAATGGGTCCACAAAACTTTAAGCAAGCAGTAGAATGTAGGCCTATGTGCATTAGTATTAAGTTGCAGAGCCAGCATGGTGCAATGGTTTGAGCTCTGCACTAAGACTCTGGAGACTAGGGTTCAATTCTCTGCTCATCCATGGAAACCTACTGAGTGATCTCTGGTGATCTGCAGACTCTTAGCTCCAGAAAAGCCCATTATAGTTTCAACTAAGGGTTACCATAAATCAGGAATGACTTGAAGGCACACAACAACAGCAGAGCCAGTTCCTTGGGAAATGTATTAGTTCCACACACACGTACAACCTTCTGAATCTCTGAGTTTACCAGGTATGTGAAAGGAGAGGACAAGGCGGCAAAGACAGAGATGCCACTATATACAGCAGTGGATCTCAACCTGTGGGTCCCCAGGTATTTTGTTCTACAACTCCCAGAAATCCCAGCCAGCTTACCAGCTGCTGGGATTTCTGGGAGTTGAAAGTCAAAGCATCTGGGGAACCACAGGTTGAGAACTATTGATATACAGGAACATGCACCTTTCTCTCATGGAGAAGTACTATGGGGTCCAAATCTACCCCTGCACACAATCCCAAAGCATGAGTGCACATATCCTGTGGCTTTCCCTTGCACAATGTCTTTAATTATAGGCTGAATATTCCTTATCATGAAACCCCAAATGCTCCAAATAGTGATACAAGCTGTCCCAGAGTTACAAACCTCTGACTTACAAACAACTCATAGTTACAAATGGGGGTGAGAAAACAGGGAGTGAGAGAAAGCTACTCCTCGAAAGGGAAATTCACTCCTGAAAGAGTTATCATGGGGGAAAGGTGTCTCCACTGAAGCATTATCTCCAATCTTTGTTTCCACAACAAGCCATTTCCCCCCCAAAATCTAATTATCATAGCAAAAGAAAGAGAGGTGATATCTTCTGAACGGGCACAGACAGCAGAACAAACACCACAAGGTTGTTAACTCTTCCCTATGCTATACCAAGCTAATATGTATGTAAGTATGGGTATGTAGATGTATGTGTGTGTGTATGTGGATGTATGTATGTAGATGCTTCCAAGGTTATGTAGCCACACAGAGCTCTGTTACCTTCCCTCAGAAGTGGTAGACATTGATCTACTCACATTTGCATGTTTTTGAACTGCTAGGTTAACAGAAGCTGGTGCTAACAGCGGGAGCTCACCCCACTCCCAGAATTTGAACCGCCAACCTTTCAGTCAGAAAGTTCAGCAACTGTGGTTTAACCCGCTGCACCACTGGAGGCACCATGTATGTGTGTACAAATATATATATATATGCGTGTGTGTGTGTGTGTGTGTTTATATGTCTAGAGCAGGGGTCCTCAAACTAAGGCCCGGGGGCCGGATACAGCCCTCCAAGGTCATTTACCCGGCCCTCACTCATGGTCAATCTAAGTATGAAACGACTTGAAAGCACACAACAACAACAATTGTATCTCATCAGCCAAAAGCAGGCCCACACTTCCCATTGAAATATTAGTAAGTTTATATTTGTTTACATCGTTCTTCATTTTAATTATTGTATTGTTTTTAGGTGGGGGTTTTTGCACTACAAATAAGATATGTGTGCACAGGAATTCATTCATGTTTTTATCAAATTATAATCCAGTCCTCCAACAGTTTGAGGGACTGTGACCTGGCCCTCTGTTTAAAAAGTATGAGGACCCCTGGTGTAGAGTTACCCTTAAAAATATACCTGTTCCGACTTACAATTGGCAATGACGATTGGAACGGAACATGGATAACGAGATTTGGATTGTGATTCAATGATGAGACGTCGCGAATGAGTTAGTGTAATTGTATTATTGATAGTGGTGTTGTTTATTGTTGTTGTGATATTGCTTATGTTGTAAATTGTACCTGGTTTTATATGTTGTACACCGCCGTGAGTCGCCCTAGGGCTGAGAACGGCGGTCTACAAGTGCAGTAAATAAATAAATAACCCCATAGAACAGTGCTTCTCAACCTGTGGGTCCCCAGATGTTTTGGCCTTCAGCTCCCAGAAATTCTAACAGCTGGTAAACTGGCTGGGATTTCTGGGAGTTGTAGGCCAAAACACCTGGGGACCAACAGGTTGAGAACCTCTAGAATAGAGGCTGGGGAATTGTCTGGTAATCCTAGGCCAGTGGTTCTCAACCTGTGGGTCCCCAGGTGTTTTGGCCTACAACTCCCAGAAATCCCAGCCAGTTTACCAGCTGTTAGGATTTCTGGGAGTTGAAGGCCAAAAACATCTGGGAACCCCAGGTTGAGAATCACTGTCCTAGGCTGAAGCAATCCAAAAAACAGGCTTCCTAGCACCTGCATTCAGCAGTATTCTTATGCCAGCAGTCCAAAGGACAACAGAAGCTTATGACCAGCTTAAGCTTCACAAGAAAGAAGATTGAGACAGTTTATAACCATCTTGTATGGAACTTGGTGGCTGCCTGTAGTGGCAACAGTTGTTGCTTGAGGGCTTCATGACTGCAAACTTTGGCGTCCAAATTTATTATTTCCTAAACTGTTTATGAAAAAGCCTGCAAGCATTCCAAATAATAATAATAAAAACATTAAGGCCTGGGCACACTTCGGCCCTCCCTCCCTCCCTCCGGGTGTTTTGGACTCCAACTCCCACAATTCCTAACAGCCTACCGGCTGTTAGGAATTGTGGGAGTTGAAGTCCAAAACACCCGGAGGGAGGGAGGGAGGGCCGAAGTGTGCCCAGGCCTTGGCGAAAGGGGAGAAATCGTACCCTTGGCGGCCTGTGTCGGGTAGAGCCTTTGGGCCTTGTGGAGGAAGCGCTGCGCCCGCTCCCGGTTCCCGGCCTCCAGGGCCTCCCGGGCGATCCCCAGGCATTTCTCCGCCTCGTCGCGGTTCCCTTCCATGGGGGGCTTCTCCTGACGCGGCTCCTCCTTCCGCCGCCGCCTCCGCCCGCCGCAGCGCAGAGAGAAGGCGCCTGACGGGGCCAGAGCGGCGAACAGGCAGGCAGGCAAGAGAGGCTCACTTCCCGGCGGTGGCCTGCACCGTCATGGCGCCTCCCGGCTCCTCATGCCTGTCTGCCCACCGGCCCGGAAGCAAGCAAGCAAGTAAGGCCCTTTGAAGAGGAGAGGAAACGACGACGACGCCACCGGCCGCGGGGTTCCTTCTGCGCAGGCGCGAGCGCTCGCGCACAAACCGCGCGGAAGGCTCTTCCCCCCCCCCCCCTTCCCTCTCCTCGCGGACGCCGTACTTTCCAGCCGCCTCCCTCGCTTGACCCGGTTCGAGTCTCGCGCGCTGCAAGAATGGGTGCCTTTCCTGGCACGGCTTTTAACTACCAAGGCTGGACGCTATGGAATCCTGGGAGCCTGAACTTTTCCAAGGTTCTCTAGCCTTCTCTGCCACAAGCTATTTATTTGTCGTGTCAGAGCAACCAGTCGATTATATTACATTTCTAACAGAACAAAGCAAGCAAACAGGCAAAATACAAAACTTGTGAGTTTGGTAGTTGGTTAAATGTCCTTTGACCAGTATCTGGCCACTGGTGTTGCTCCAAGAAGGTCCTCCATTGTGCATGTGGCAGGGCTCAGGGTGCATTGCAGCAGGTGGTCAGTGGTTTGCTCTTCTCCACACTCGCATGTCGAGGATTCCAGTCCAACCCCCTGCCAAGAAGCAGGAATATTGCATTCAAATCACCCCTGACAGATGGCCATCCAGCCTCTGTTTAAAAGCTTCCAAAGAAGGAGCCTCCACCACACTCGGGGCAGAGAGTTCCACTGCTGAACAGCTCTCACAGTCAGGAAGTTCTTCCTCATGTTCAGATGGAATCTCCTCTCTTGTATTTTGAAGCCATTGTTCCGCGTCCTAGTCTCCAGGGAAGCAGAAAACAAGCTTGCTCCCTCCTCCCTGTGCTTCCTCTCACATATTTATACATGGCTATCATATCTCCTCTCAGCCTTCTCTTCTTCAGGCTAAACATGCCCAGCTCCTAAGCCGCTCCTCATAGGGCTTGTTCTCCAGACCCTTGATCATTTTAGTCGCCCTCCTCTTGACACATTCCAGCTTGTCAATATCTCTCTTGAATTGTGGTGCCCAGAATTGGACACAATATTCCAGGTGTGGTCTAACCAAAGCGGAATAGAGGGGTAGCATTACTTCCCTAGATCTAGACACTATGCTCCTATTGATGCAGGCCAAAATCCCATTGGCTTTTTTTGCCACCACATCACATTGTTGGCTCATGTTTAACTTGTTGTCCACGAGGACTCCAAGATCTTTTTCACACGTACTGCTCTCGAGCCAGGCATCCCCCATTCTGTATCTTTGCATTTCGTTTTTCCTGCCAAAGTGGAGTATCTTGCATTTGTCCCTGCTGAACTTCATTTTGTTAGTTTTGACCTATCTCGCTAATCTGTCAAGATCATTTTGAATCCTGCTCCCAAATGTGAACACTGGTGGAGTTTGGGGAAAATACACCTTGCCATTTGGGAGTTGTAGTTACTGGGATTTATAGTTCACCTAAAATCAAAGAGCATTCTGAACTCCAACGACGGAATTGAACTAAACTTGGCAAACACGACCAACAGAAAAAACTGGAAGGGTTTGGTAGGCATTGACCTTGAGTTTTGGAGTTGTGGTTCACCTACAGCCAGAGAGCATTGTGGACTCAAACAATGATGGATTTGGACCAAACTTGGCAGAAATACTCAGTATGCCCAAATGTGAGCACTGGTGGTTTGGGGAAAATAGACCTTGACATTTGGGAGTTGTAATTGCTGAGATTTATAGTTCACCTACAAAGAGCATTCTGTACCCCACCGATAGAATTGGGCCAAACTTCCCACACAGAAACCCCATGACCACCAGGAAATAGTTTCCTGGTCTTTGGTGACCCCTCGGACCCCCCTCACGACCCTCCCAGGGATCCCGAACCCCAGGTTGAGAAACAGTGCTTGAAGAGCAGGCATAGGCAAACTTCGGCCCTCCCACCAGGTGTTTTGGACTTCCAACTCCCACAATTCCGAGCCGGTAGGATCCAGATTATAGTATCTCCTTGGATGATCTGGATTATTTGCCGGTGTAGAAGTGACCTCAGTATATCATTTAAAATATTTAAACATAGGTATAATGTCACTTCTTACAAGACTTGTTTGTTTTTAAAAAACCATTTTGGCCACCTTCTCCTGGATACATCTCAGTTTAAACTTTGATTTTTTCCAGGACTTGCAGTGTGTTCTTCCTGATCTTGATTTCCAAGGAATGGCCTCAGGATATCTCACCAAGAAAAAGCCATCTGTATTGTATTGTGGCGAGTTCTTAGTGGTATGGGCATACCAAATCACCAGGTTGTTGTACGTTTTTTTGGGCGATATGCCCATGTTCTAGAGGCTAGAGGCATTCTCTCCTGATGTTTCGCCTGCATCTATGGCAAGCATCCTCACAGGTTGTGAGGTGTTAGTATGACCCGAGTGCTTTGGGATTAAAGCAGGCCTGGGCACACTTCAGCCCTCACACCTCACTACCTCTGAGGATGCTTGCCATAGATGCAAAGCCTCAAGTTTCCATTAAATGATTTACTAAAATCTTAAATTGGAATTAGAATTAAATTTGTCATTGGGCCTTTATCCTCATTACAATTTTTAAAACCCTGCAAAAACATGTTGTCCATTGTTTGTATTCAAGTTGTGTATTGTTTTGATATGCAATTCTATTTTATGAGTGCTGTTAGCTGCCCTGAGTCCCTTCGCAGAGATGGTGGTGGGGTACAAATAAATTTATTATTAAAGTATGTTCAAAAAGATAGCAAAATAATTTATAGCAACTTGAATGTGTCATGTCTTCTATGAATTATTTTGAGACATGTAAACAAAAGCATGAAGCAGTCGACTTGTACTTTTAGTTACTTTCTGATGCCCGTATCTAGATAAAACACTCTTAATACCTTTGCTACAAGTCCATATGCTCAGTTTGTGGCAGCTAAGATACAGTTCGTAGCATTGCAAGAATTTTTTCAGTGATATTGTCCCAAGATGCTGAGCTAATTTGTTTACACTAATAGCAGCTTTTATACCTTACTTCGCAACAAGGAGCAATCAGAAAAAAAGGATCAGTGCTAAATGCAGTGGCTGTTCCAATTTAAAGTAGACCTATTCATCTCAGGAACATAAGCCAACATATATACATTGTTTTAAGCCAATAATTGGGTCATCAAATTGATCTGGCTCAAAACACGCAGTGTAATTATAATATCTTGCTCACTCCACATGACTCTAGAACACAACCCTAATCTAATTATTACTTGCCCAGCAAGCTCATCGTGGCTGAAGCAACACAATAACTACTCAACCAGAGCAGACAATTCATAATGATATAACATTTATTAAATTCACCAGATGTGAAACAAGGCCTGTAAAAAGTCCCAATACTGTTTCTCCTGAAACAATTTTATTTAAGACAAGAGACTGACGTGAGTCTCACACTTCAAGCTTTCTTTTTATTTACTTAAAAATAAAAATGTCAAGAAACTTTTGTAGTTAAATGGTATAGTGTATAATTGAATAAAGGAAATTTGAAGCATAAAAAATTATACATTAGCAACAATGTCAAGAATTTAATTAAACCCAACAAATCTAAAAACAGTCAGGCACCACTACAGACAACAGCTTCTCTGAAGCCATGTAACACTTAAATAAGGTTAAGACTTCAATGTATAATTTTGGTTCGTTATGTATCTTGATGGGCTCCATCTTCAAGGTTACAGAAAGGCAAAAATTGTGTTTCACAGATGCAGTCCACTGGAAATCCACCAACACCAGACAACTGAGCATTTAAAAGTCCCAAGTTAACAAGGAATCTTTTAAACTGTTTTCTGTTGCCCTTTCTTTCCAATAAGAGATTTATGGATGTGTGGAATGACACCTGAGGAAAGAAAAAAAAGAGATTTTATTTCTGTCTTCAGATAAACAACTGAATAGCATCATATGGCCTATGCTAAAGCAAAATGATACGGTATAGTTTCAACAGACTACATTGCTCAAGTACATACCTCCGCCAGCAATTGTTGCTTTGATGAGGGAATCCAATTCTTCATCACCTCTTATTGCAAGCTGCAAGTGACGGGGAGTGATACGCTTCACTTTCAAGTCTTTGGATGCATTTCCTGCTAGTTCAAGAACCTGCAATTGTTTTTACAATTCATTAAACCAGATTAATAAACCAGGTTGCAGATTATTTTGCAACATAGCTCCTTATTAGCCCGGCAGGCTCTCTTTGAGGTTATATGAACTATTTAGAACACAGGCAGACCAATATTTCTTAGCTGATTTCTCTTTTCGCAGAAACAGAGATGGGATACTGGAAAGTAGCAGGCATTTTTGAGACCTACCCTTAATGGTTTTACTTCTGTCCGACTCCCCTTTATTTTTCTCCACAGGGGAAAAATGTGTTTTCAAATCACATTGGACCTCTGTTGTATTTTGAAATGTTCATATGACTGGTCAAATAAATAAAAACGGACCTCAAAAATTGTTCTATATCAACCAAGAGAATGGCTCCCTTCACTTTTGTTTTATTGAGACTCTAGTTTCAACTATTATTTATAATACAAACCCAAGGGGCTTGATTTTGAATACTTCTATTTTTAACTCACAAGCCTTATTTTAGATTCTGCAATGACAGTTACTCCCTGGAATGCTGGGGTAGGCAATGATATAATGAGAAAGGGCACTGCCCCATGCTAAGCAGACCATTGGTCTATTTACTTCACTATTTACAAAGAAAAGATTTTCTTGAGGGCCCTTCCAGACCGGCCCTAGATCACAGAATCTGATCCCAAGGTGTCCGATTATCCCAGATTATCTGGCAGTGCAGACTGGTATAATCCAGTTTAAAGCAGAAAACCTGGGATAAGTTCTTGGGATATAGGGCCTGTCTCGAAAGGCTGAGTTTCAGATAGGAAGCCTTTGCATGCCTATCTGGAGATATTGTAGATTGATATTAGGACCATGAATGAGGAAAGTGCTTGATCTGTCAGTTGGCTATAAAATATAGGAGTCTGTTACCTAGAAGCATGCAGTCCCATTTTAATTGTTTTATTGCCCAGGATTAATCATTTCTATGGATTTTGCATATTTGAAACTGTATTGCCCAGTTTAGGTACTTCACTGGATTGGTGAAGGTAAAATGTCAGAATGCAAACGCCACAGTTTCCTCTTTCCTTCACTAAGCTGTTACCTCAGCTGTGAGATACTCCAAGATGGCAGCACTATATACAGCAGCCGTAGCCCCAACACGGCCGTGACTGGTAGTCCTGGATTTCAGATGCCGGTGAATTCTGCCAACAGGGAACTGGAGAGAAAAACAACCAGGGTCAAATCAAGACTGTGAATCCTTTTCCAGGCCAAGAGCAGAACCTGGACTACTTCTATGTTAAGCTTGAAGCTCTTACTCCAAGCAACCAAACTTTAAGAGTCATTTCAATTTTTGGGAAAAAGACAAGCCCCTACGCTTCTGAGATCCCTTCCACACAGCTGAATAAAACCCCACATTATCTGCCCTGATGTTCTGGGTTATATGGCTGTGTGGAAGAGCCCAGAGTGCTAAAAGGCTGGGACAGGGACTGCAGAAGAACTCAATCTGGATGTAGAACACAACAATCCCCCCCCCCCACTTTTAAGGAAATGCTATTTTTGTCAAATACCTATACATCTCAAGGCATTCTTGAGTTAAGTCCTCAATACTTCCTCAGTTCACTGGGTATGAGACCTGTACTTTTGCTGGGATACCAACACATTTCCATATAAGGGGGACCAAAATGACCAAAGATGTAGGAAGCTAAGCCTTATGACAAGAGGCCAAGAGGAGGTTATGATAGCTCCATTTAAATATTTGAAAGGATGTCACTTTGTTAAAATGACAACCTCCTTCAGGCCTTCTCTAGTAATGTTTATCTATGATCCTGTTGCTTACTGTTTCCTGTATGTATACTCTGGCATGCAGTTCCCTTTTTTCTATGGTTCCTGAGAAGTTATAAAAAGGGCTGCAGACCACATGATCACTACAGACTACTGCAGACAGACTACTTCAGACCTCAGATCACACTCTTGCTGTTTCACTGTAAGAGATGCCCTGGCTGGTTGGCACAGAGAATTATCTCAAATACTTGAAACTAGACTGATAAGTTTGGTATCTGAGTATGATGAACACAAGAAGGTTGTTAATAAACCAATATTTTTTTTAATCCAAGTCTACTTCATTTTTGTCTCTTGAATGCATGATATAAAACAAGTTTTATGGGAGAGCACAGCAGGTTAAACTGCTGAGCTGCTGACCAAAAGGTTGGTGGTTCAAATCCGGGGAACAGGATGAGCTCCTGCAGCTAGGCCCAGCTTCTGCCAATCTAGCAGTTCAATAGGTATCACTTCTGCAGGAAGGCAATGGCGCTCCATGCAGTCATGCTAGCCACATGACCTTGGAGGTGTCTAAGGCTTAGAAATGGAGAGGAGCACCCCCCCCCCCCAAGTCGGACACAACTAGACTTAATGTCAAGGGGAAACCTTTACCTTTATATATATATATATATATATATATATGCACTGAAAAACACGTTTAAAGATCTGTTTTTATGCCCTGGCAAATCTGTTTTCTTAACAGATCAGAGGCAAAAGGTTATTCAGTCTAACAACTGAAACCCATTGCCTTGCATTGCATCTGGTGGTATACCACAAGAGAAGATTCTACTATAATGGGTTTTTGTGCTCTTCTCTGAAAGGTCATGCTTTTCTTAAAAAGTTATGATCTCCAAAAGGGTTTTTCCCCCCAGAAGGTTATGAATGCCATTTTCCAAAAAACTTTTGAGAGGGCAAGTCTGTTTAGAAACTAGGGTATGTAGAAATGGATTCAAAATGCATGAAACAGGATTGTAACATCATGAGCAATCTTCTGCATGTAGCGTGGTAAAGTCTTTTGTGGCAGGTTGTCCTATTGCAAGCATGGGCAAACTTTGGCCCTCCCTCCAGGTGTTTTGGAAGGCAACTCCCACAGTTCCTAACAGTCTTCCGGCTGTTAGGAATTCTATTTATTTACAACATTTATATGCAGCCTTTTTACCCTGAAGGGGACTTAAAGAGGCTTACAAGTTATATGTACATACAATACATATTATTAGAACAGCACAGTATTATTATATGACTGTATTATACTATACCAATATACTGTAATATTATTAGTAATGTTACATGTAATATGAAATATACAATTATATTGTATTACTAGTATTATATTGCATTACATATTATCAATATTATACGTGTATATAATATATTATTAGCACAGTACATTAGTATTACATATTACTACTAGCCATCCCCTGCCACTCGTTGCTATGGCCAGTCTGTGTATGTGTTTTGTGTGTGTATATATGTGGTTATGTACATGAATTGTAATTTTTTTTAGTCTTTTCTGCTGTGTTTTTCAGTGTTTTTATGAGTGATGGTCACTCATTGGCCTGATAGATGTATTGTGTCCAAATTTGGTGTCAATTCATCCAGTGGTTTTTGAGCTATGTTAATCCCACAAACGAACATTACATTTTTATTTACATATTGTACTATACCACTATACTGTAATATAAAATATACAATTACTATATTGTTAGAATCATATTGTATTACATTATCAATATTATATGTGTATAATATTGATAATATAATCAATATTATATTGATTATAATGGCGGGGACGAGAGTCAGGGCCTTCTCAGTGGTGGCCCCTCGGCTGTGGAACGCCCTTCCTATAGATATCAGATCGGCCCCATCCCTATTGGCATTTCGGAGGAAAGTGAAGACCTGGCTGTTCGAACAAGCATTCGATTAAGCAGTGTAATGAATATAGGAACACGGATTAATGGATGATGAGATTGGATTCTGATTTTACTGATGAGACGCTAATGATTGTTATATTGATGTTTAATTGTTGATGATGCTATTGTTTTAACTGTCCCATAATCGTTTTATGATGTTTTGCATTGAATTTTTCTGTTGTTAACCGCTTTGAGTCACCTGAGGGCTGAGAAAAGCGGTATATAAATGAAGTAATTATTATTATTGTATTGTCGAAGGCTTTCATGGCTGGAATCACTAGGTTCTTGTCGGTTTTTTCGGGCTATAGGGCCATGTTCTAGAGGCATTTCTCCTGACGTTTCGCCTGCATCTATGGCAAGCATCCTCAGAGGATGCAGGCGAAACGTCAGGAGAAATGCCTCTAGAACATGGCCCTATAGCCCGAAAAAAAACCAGAAGAACCTAAAATATATATTGTAAGCCGCTCTGAGTCCCCTTAGGGGTGAGAAGGGCGGCATATAAATGCCGTAAATAAATAAATAAATATTGATGTTTGTTGTTATGCTATTTGTTTTTAAATGCTCCAATGGTTTTGTAATGTGTGTATTGAAATTGCTGTTGTTAACCGTTTTGAGTCGCCTAAGAGTTGAGAAAAGCAGTATATAAATGAAGTAAATAAATAAATAAAAATACAATATATTGTGGGAGTTGAAGTTCAAAACACCTGGAGGAAGGACCGAAGTTTGCCCGTGCCTTTTCCATTGGGGCTGCATCTTAATGCATGGAAAGGGGGTTGGGACTGGATGTGGTCTATCCCAACTCAGTTCCGAGCACAATTCAAGGTGCTGGTTTTGACCTACAAAACCCTGTAAGGTTCCGGTCCAGTGTATCTGTCCGAACGTATCTCCCTCTACATCCCACCCCGGAATTTGAGATCATCTGAGGAGGCCCTGCTCTCGACCCCACCGCTATCACAAGTGAGGCTGGTGGGGACGAGGAGCAGGGCCTTCTCAGTGGTGGCCCCTCACCTGTGGAACTCACTCCCGGGGGAAATCAGGGCATCACCATCCCTCCTCGCCTTCAGGAGGAGGGTGAAGACGTGGTTATGGGACCAGGCCTTTGGGCACTCTGGCAATTAAATCAGACAACCAGGCGAGTATGTCCAACAGGATTGATGAAGTGGAACGTAAAACTAGATCTATGAGTTAGCGAACGCTGACCATGTAAGAGGAGAAATTGGGTTTGTATTGGTTTTATTGATTTTATGGTTATAATGCATGAATTGTTGTAATTTTGTGTATGATTGTTTTATGATGCAGGCATCGAATTGTGCCTTTGCCTTTGTAAGCCGCCCTGAGTCCCCCTCGGGGTGAGAAGGGCGGGGTAAAAGAACCCCAAATAAATAAATAAACTCTTTGATTCTATCAACTTTTTCCTTCCTAGAAGGACGCAAGACAAGGCCGAACGCTTTGCAACACCCCCCAAGTGCCCACCTGCAAGCCAGCTCTCTGTGAACGGGACACCGTCTTGGTTTTGGTCTTCCCAGAGTCTTTCCCAGCTTTGCCACCGGCCTAGAATAGCACAGAGAAAGAAGCAGAAGAGGCAAGGCAAGTCAACACGTGGCCTCCTCCTCCTTCTCCTTAGCAACCACCCCCGCCCCGCCCCGCCCCGGGCTGGCTCCCACGTGACGCAAGGGCTTGGGTCGGAGAGGGCGCGCGAGAGAGGCAGGCAGGCCCGCGCGTGCGCAGTCTCCTCTTCGCAGCATTCCCTCCCCCCATTCTATAAGGCGTCGGAGCCGGGGCGCATGCGCGGAAGGTCCTCCACGAGCCTTGCTCCCGGGCGCATGCGCGTCACTCTTCTCCCACCGCGCCCCTCACTGTCCTCTAGCCTCTCCCTCTTTCTTTCCCCATCCGGGTATTCCTTATGCCAGGCAGCCGACAGCACGAGACTAGGGCGCATCACGCGCTCCCCTCACAATTTTTTCCCCTTTCTTTCCCCTAATCTGCCCTGAGCCGCTTCACCCTCGCTTACCATTTCGAATGAGGCCTTGGAATGAGACACACGAAAGCAGAACTGAGCGCAGACCTCCCTGACGATGCGAAGACGGCGGCGCCAGTTCAAAACTGCGCCCGCTCCCGCCTTCCCCGCGCCCTTTATACGCGGCTCTAACGTCCCGTCATCCGGGGACTCGCGTCGTCAAACCAGCCAATCGGCACAATGAGGCGGCTCCCCCTGCGCCCCGGGAGGACCAATAGGAAGCCGAGCAGGAGGGAGGGGGAGGGGCTTGCCTTCGGAGCGCCTCGCGCCGAACTGTCCCGCATAGGCCCCGCCCACCTGAGCCCCTAGAGGCGTTTCTCTTCCTTCTCTGTTCTCTGTCCTGAAAGGTTTCTTTCTCCCATCACCAATCAATAAAGAGACATCCCCACTCTCCTCTTTGCACCTGGTTCCTTTTTCTCAATTAAAAGCACACAAATTTCCCCACTTTCTTGTGAAGAGAAACACTTCTGAGCGTTTTAGTCCTTGGGGACTCCAACTCCCAGAAGCCCCTGCCAGCGTGGACCACTCTCAGGAATTCTGGGAGTTGAAGTCGAAGATACCTAGAGGGAGAGCAGGCATGAGCAAACTTGGGCACACCACTTCTTTTGGACTTCAACTCCCACCATTCCTAACAGCCTCAGGCCCTTTCCTTTTCTCCCTCAGCCCTCCAGGTCTTTTGGACTTCAACTCCCACAATTCCTAACAGTCTCAGGACCTTTCCTTTCCTCCTTCAGCCCTCCAGGTCTTCTGGACTTCAACTCCCACAATTCCTAACAGCCTCAGGCCCTTTCCTTTTCTCCCTCAGCCCTCCAGGTCTTTTGGACTTCAACTCCCACCATTCCTAACAGCCTCAGGCACTTTCCATTTCTCCCTCAGCCCTCCAGGTCTTTTGGACTTCAACTCCCACAATTCCTAACAGTCTCAGGACCTTTCCTTTCCTCCTTCAGCCCTCCAGGTCTTCTGGACTTCATCTCCCACAATTACTAACAGCCTCAGGCACTTTCAATTTCTCCCTCAGCCCTCCAGGTCTTTTGGACTGCAGCTCCCACAATTCCTAACAACCTCAGGCCCTTTCCTTTTCTCCTTCAGCCCTCCAGGTCTTCTGGACTTCAACTCCCACAATTCCTAACAGCCTCAGGCCCTTTCCTTTTCTCCCTCAGCCCTCCAGGTCTTTTGGACTTCAACTCCCACAATTACTAACAGCCTCAGGCACTTTCAATTTCTCCCTCAGCCCTCCAGGTCTTTTGGACTGCAGCTCCCACAATTCCTAACAGCCTCAGGCCCTTTCCTTTTCTCCTTCAGCCCTCCAGGTCTTCTGGACTTCAACTCCCACAATTCCTAACAGACTCAGGACCTTTCCTTTCCTCCTTCAGCCCTCCAGGTCTTCTGGACTTCAACTCCCACAATTCCTAACAGACTCAGGACCTTTCCTTTCCTCCTTCAGCCCTCCAGGTCTTCTGGACTTCAACTCCCACAATTACTAACAGCCTCAGGCACTTTCAATTTCTCCCTCAGCCCTCCAGGTCTTTTGGACTGCAGCTCCCACAATTCCTAACAGCCTCAAGCCCTTTCCTTTTCTCCTTCAGCCCTCCAGGTCTTCTGGACTTCAATTCCCACAATTCCTAACAGCCTCAGGCACTTTTAATTTCTCCCTCAGCCCTCCAGGTCTTTTGGACTTCAACTCCCACAATTCCTAACAGCCTCAGTCCCTTTTCTTTTCTCCTTCAGCCCGCCAGGTGTTTTCTACTTCAACTCCCACAATTCCTAACAGCCTCAGGCACTTTCCATTTCTCCCTCAGCCCTTCAGGGCCGTGGCTGAGGGGGGAAAGGAAGGGGCCTGAAGCTGTTAGAAATCGTGGGAGTTGAAGTCCAAAACACCAGGAGGACCCAGGTTTGCCCATGCCTGTCATAGAGGAATACTAACTGCTGTGCATTGCATCTACCATGTGTTTCTTCAGTTGTGTACCTTCAAGTGGTTCTCGACTGATGGTAACCGTTGTTATCACAGGGTTTTCTTGGCAAAATTGGTTAGGATTGTTGTTGTTGTATGCTTTCAAATCATTTCAGACTTAGGTTGGCCCTGAGCGAGGGCCAGGTTAATGACCCCTGTCATAGAGTCTCAACCAGTTCAACCTAGTTTGTGACAGCCACAAAAATGAAGTTTCTGGAGTATAACAGCTTCAGAATATCGAGTTTATGGATATAACTTTGAAAATGTATTTACAGTCTGCTTTTTTATTGTACTTTTGTGATTGCTTAGTCTGCTAATTTTGGAATGACTTCTGGATTATTTTTGAAACTGCCTTTTCTATTATATACCCTTTTCTTAATAAACTTATTACTTATTGTTGAACTATGTGGTGTTTGGGTATTTATGTATCGTGTCAGAAGCAAATTGAGAATAGAGTTATAATTCATACAAAAACCATAAAGTTAAAAGCTTGTCATTGTACTAAATTTCTTTTAACCAGAAGCTGGCCACTTAGAGTGCCTCTGGTGTGGCTGTAAGAAGATCCACCATTGTGCATGTGGCAGAGCTCAGGTTGCATTGTAGTAAGTGGTCTGCAGTTTGCTGTTGTTCACACTCACATGTCGTGGACGCCACTTTATGGCCCCATTCCTTAAGGTTAGCTCTGCATCTGGCGGTGCCAGAGTACAGTCTGTTCAGCGCCTTCCAAGTCACCCAGCCTTCTGTGTACCTGAGGGAGTTTCTCATATGGTATCAGCCAGTTTAGGGTTTTAACCTGTCACTTTTGGATTCTTGCTTGCTGAGGTGTTCCTGCAAGTATCTCTGTAGATCTTAGGAAGCTGCTTCTTGATTTAAGGTGTTGGCTTGCTGGCCGATATCTGAACAGAGAATGGTCCGGAGATGTCAATGTCAAAAAAGCAGATAATTCACTATTTGCTTTAAACTGGATTATATAAGTCTACATTCCAAATAATCCAGTTCAAAGCATATAACCTGAATTTTATATGGCAGTGTAGAAGAGTCCACAGCATCCTCATATGTTCTGTTCTTAGGCACTTCACTTGATGCAACTGGTTTTCTGTTTATCCCAGAAAGCTGGGATCAGATCCTGGACTTTAGGGTCTGTATGGAGGGCCCCTCAGTCTCCAAGATGCTATATGACACCTTTGCATATAAATATATCACTGATGAAATTTAGTAGAAATCATATCGATAGTCCCAGTTTCAGAGATGAGCAAAGACCTCACCTACAAAGTTTTTTTTAAACAACCCAAGCTGCCCAGTAACAGTGTGGGGTATTATGAATTCCTCATCCACAAATATCCTTTCTGTATTTTACTTACTTAGGCAATCCCTCGTTGTCCGAGTAGGATAGTCTTCCAAGATCAGTGGCTGTGGGTCCATAGATGACTATGGAGCCCTGTTCTTGATCTGCATCTTCTCTGGGAGGGTGTTTTCTGAGATGGTTAGAAGGCGGTTTGTAGGATTTCTTGCTTGGATTTTCCCAGCGGAGGTTAGAAGGGAGATACCTAGATAGTTTCCGCAGTCTGTTCTTTCCCCTTTTTTGAAGAGGGTGACGATGGTGGCATCCTTGAGATCTGCTGGGATTTTCTCAGTCACCCACACATTTTCTATGAGCTGGTGGAGTTGTTGTGTCAGCTCAGGTCCACCCTCTTTAAAGATTCCAGCAGAGATCCCATCAGGTCCACTGGCTTTGCTATTTTTTTGTTGGCTGGTGGCATTGCTGACTTCTTCTGGTTTATTGTTGTGGGGTTTGTGAGAGAACCTCTTCGGCCACATTGGAGCTGTGATTCAGGAGGCTTTGATAGTGTTCTTTCCAACGTAGTGCAATTGATTTTTTTTGTCCTTTAGAAGTTTGGTTCCATKTGATGAGCGTAGAGGCTGTATGCCATGGTTTCTTGGTCCGTAGATMACCTTTGTGGCTTTGAAATATCCCTGAGCATCATAGGTATCTGCCAGGTGTTGGATTTCTTCATCCTTCTTTATCCACCAGATGTTCTTAAGTTCTCTTGTCCTTCTTTGGACCTCAGCTTTTGCGCTGGCGTAGATCRTTTTCCCAGCAGCACAGTTGATATCTCTCTGCCATGTTTGGAAGGCTTTCCTTTTCTTGTCAATTAGCTGTTGGATCTCATTGTCATTTTCGTCGAACCAGTCTTGATGTTTCTTGGTTTGGTATCCAGTAGTTTCTTCGCAGGCTGTGATGATGGAGGTCTTCAGTTTGTTTGTTTCAATGTTCCTCAACATTGGAACATTGGGTAGATGTCCTTGAGTGCTGTTTAGAGAAGGGCTGATTTGGAGGGCTCCTGAAGGGCTTGGGTGTTCATTTTGTGCTTTGTCTTTCTTCCTTGGAGTCTGCGCTTGGGGGCGATCTTAACAGATCGCCCCCAAGTGCAGACAGAATACAACATCTATTATGACAGAATACAACAGAATACAACATCTACTATGCTGCATTTTTGGGGCTAAATACAGTATGACGACTCTGTGTCTACAAGAGATGTGTTCCTGGACTTCACATTCATACATGAAATTGTGGATAATAGTGAAGCATATTATTTCAATGGAACAAATGACAGAGAAACTGAGAAGAAGGGATAGTTTGTACAGGAGACCCTTAGTGAATAAATGAATCTGTGTATATTGACTGTGTACATACAAGGGTTATGCTGTATAGGCACACCTTAGTTAGCAAGCCTCTGAGAGTGAAGCTCCTTTTTGCAAAAGCTACCCAGCCTCTCCTTTCTTTTTGTCCTGTATAATTCAAAGGATTTTAGTAGTACCATCACTGGAAGGCTGGGGAGATATAGTTTTGATATTGTGCTACACATCCACATTAAACAAGGGAATAAAGCTTGAGCTGGGGAAAAGGGGAAAAGAATGCAAAGTAAGCAACAGTTGCATCCAGAAATCCTTACTGGACAAAACACAAACAACACAGAACAGAGAGGAAAAAGAAATCTACCATGTCTATGTGTTCACTGTATCAGATTATTTAGGTCACACTACCACAGCAACAGCGGGTTGTTTTTCCTTCCCAGCATGTGTGCATATCCATATCAACCGTATTTTACTGTCAGCCTTACCACCCACCCGTGTTCCCATTAGATAGTCTATATGAGGTTCTCTTGCCAGGTTCCCCCATCTTGTTTCCTTTTCTAT